TTTTAGAATTAATTTATCAAATATTTGAAATTTGAAATTAGAAACAATTAAATCTTTTCTTTTTTTTTCCTTTCCTATTGTTCTAAATCTTATGTTAATTTTAATAGTAAATACTTTAGATTTATTTATACCTATAATATCTTTTATTTATATTTTAGTTCTAGTTATTTATTATTTAGAATAATCTCATTTGCTTCATGCATTTCAACCAACTTAAATAAGATAAAAACAGTAAAAAAGTAATTAACTGTGATTTCTTAATGGTTCGATACCTGAGTATATTTGCAATGTTTGTGGCGACCATAGAAATCTCGAGTCATTTTATTTTACACGCTTATGAAGTAACTACCGACTATTTAAAACATGTTTTTCAAATCACCCGACTTACAAAATAATTGCGTTCTTAGTTGTCAATTTATGAGGATTTCATAGTTTATTGCTACACTACTTATATTCGTGTGCAAAGTTATTTTTATTTTTACAAGATGTTCCAACACCTATCAACATTTAAAAAGGCTGAAACCATTGTTTTGCATGAGCAAAACATAACTAACAATAACTGAAATAGCAAGGCGTTTAATGATATCGGTGAGTAAATAAGATACTACGTTGATATTCTAAATAATATTTATTTCATTTTGTAACTCGACACACCTATCAATTTTTGCACTAGAATAAAATAATTATTGCAACTTATTATGAAGTTCAATATTATAAAGATATATTAATAATTTATTATTAATTGTATTGTAACTTGACTTGTTTTTGTTAGGAGTGTTTCTTTAAAACATATCTGGTTAGGGATTTTTATTCCTTACGCCACTACTTAATTATAAATTATTATTCTAACATTGTGTTTACTTATATTTATTATTATTTTTAAGTAACTTTAATTCCTGTAAAGTATTTCCTGGTATTTTAAATACTTATTTGTTTGGTATCAACAGAGGAGATCCATGCAGTTATGGGTGCACAGATATGCGGAGACCGGTGACGTTAAACATCGTCGACGTGGGCCTAAACCAAAGGCAAATTCATCGGCTCGGCACTACGACATCGTAGCCAGGCACATGGCTGATCCGTTCCTGCCAACCCGCACTACAGCGACAGCACTGAATGTTTTAATACAAACTGTACGGAGACACCTGCATTCTGGTTTAAGGTGCAGGAAGCCAGAGAAGAAAATATTGTTATCTGTGGTTCACCAGCAAAAGCGCTAAGAATTTGCTAAGGACTTTATTAATTTTGATTGGGCGAACAGTGTAATCATATTGAGCGACGAAAAGACTTTCAAGTCGGATAAGGATGGGCGTAAAATATTGTGAAGAAAAGATGGAGAAAGGTATACGAATTGCAACCTTCTGCCTTGTAGGATCAGTGATTGATTTCGGAATCAATTATTGAGCCTGTCAAACTCTGCCTTTATTAAAATTAACATAAAATAATGTTTAATTTTTTTAAGAATATTAAAATGCTGTCTAGAACATACGGTGAAGTGATGTTATTGTTTTGTGGTTAGAAATTGTCATAATTTCTTTCTATTCAACATGTTTATTCACTTCACTTTAATTTTTCATTAACAAATTTATTTAACTGCTTTCGAACTTGATTGACATATTATATTTACGCCCATCTTCAATTAATTTAAAGTTTCCCTGATTCTAAAGGTCATGAAAGTTAAAATCGTTCCATAGCATTCGTCACATTCTTTTTACTATCATACAGCCCACTGAATATTGAACCTTATAACAACCGTCGTAAAATAGATAATTAATGGAAGTTCAAACGACAAAAAGTCGCCCATTTCAAGAAATATTATGTTGACAGTGTAATTTTTTACATGTTTTACTTGTTTATTACTGTAAAACTGTAATTTAATAATACATTATATTATTAAATTACAAAACAAGAATGTTGTATATTTGTTTATTACCTACTTAATAAAAAATGTTGCTGCCATCGTATTACCGCTGTACCGCATGATATTTCCCGATTCGACTATGAGGTTTATTGTCATATCTATTAATTATGATTTAAAGAACTTTAAACTTAACATGTGGTATATAATTAATTATTAGATATAAATATTGAATATAAAACAACATATTTGTATAATAAATAAATTAATTGTAATAAAAAATAGTATTGTTTTATTTACCAACTCATTTGCTTCTTTTATAGCCTGATATTTATATTTTATGACAAAAAACAAAAAAAAAATAAGAAAAATAACAAGGTAAAATAAAATTAACTTTTAGCTGGAATAGAACCCACATCATTGATCCTTGAAAGACGATAAAAGCGTGCTCATTAACCAATCGACCACGAGCACTACGATAATGACAGTGAAAATGTCGGGTCATATCAATGATTGTAAATAGTTTTAACCTTACCTATGCATTAAATTATAAAAATACGTATACCGACACAAGAATGAAAATACCAATGTGAACGTGGTGGACGAATACTTTTATATACAGTTATATGAAATTACGCACACATGTACACTGTGTAAATGACAGTTGTGTCGATGTGTAGCGCTGCAACTAATTAGCGGTGCTTTGTGTACGCACCCTAATGTTTTTTCAAATATAACTTAAGGTTTTAACGGATACCGAATACACCATTGATCATTATTAACGGTGTTGTTCCTTATTTCATTTCTATGGCGACCGGACGTATGTTCATTTATGGGACGCTTGATGGCTGATTACCTCATTCTCTTAAGCCCGAATACTGAAAGGCTACTCAATAGAGATGATGACAGGGTATGAAAATTAAAAATCTAAATAGTCCGTCAGTTAGGTAATGAAAAAAAATTAGACACGTATTTTTTTATTTTGTTGTATACTAAACTGATACTTAAATATAACGAATCAAAGTTTAGGAGTGGATCTGAAACGTCATTTCTACGTATAAAATGTACATAGAAGTGACGTCACGCGACCTTTAAAATGACGAATATATCGTCGAAAGTATTCGTTTCTGTAAAAAAATAAAAAATACGTCTTTAAACTGTCAAACACCAAGCGGTCACCGGTGACCGCGACCTATTGTTCTTTAATTGTGTCTATAAATACGGTACTCGACGAGTTAATGTTTTAAAATAATCTACAAGACGGACGTTAAAATAAAAATTAGTCATCTACCCTATTTAAGTTGTAGATAGATACATAAATATCGTGCCATCTCTGTCATTTTACAAATAATTTTTTGTGATAGCACTATACTTAAGCCAAGGATACACGTGTCGCCAGCGACGTCGGGTGAAGTAACGCGACGTTGCCAGACTTTAGTTGACATGTCGGGCAACATTAACATCACTGTGGACATAAGACGCGCGTTGTTGCCTTATAATATCATGTCATGTCGCCGATACATGTCGTGGGACATTTGTTCCCTGGCACTTTTAAACTAAATGGCGTTTGAGTGTTCGCGCATTAGTCATTCACCTTTATATCACTCACGTTGATAAATAAAACATAAGTCTATACATATGTTTACTTAGTAAATTGGTAGGTATAGCATATAATAAGTAGTTAAGTAAGTACTACGCAGTTTAGAGGTAATGTTTTTATATTTACATCCGGATACGTTACTGTTGGCTTTATGTCTAGTTCTTTGATATCGTACACAGTGATTTACGGTAAATTTATTAATAACGTTACATTAACTAGTATAGTAAGTATGTAATTAACCTTTTTTTATAATTTCAAGCTGAAATCTAAGTGTTACGTCGTTGAATGTTTAAAACGAATGCAATGTTATATTAGGAAGTATTTTTGTTATCTCAGTCATATTTTACTTACCAACTATTTCATCGATGTTCAGAACGTCTCCAGTTATTACAAAAGTAATTACAACTACATTCATTGACGCATGCCGTGCCCAAGCAGACATTACTTAAGGCATTATGTTGTCTTTAGGGTGACTTATGTTAATGTCCACATGATTCACAAAGGTATAACAATTCATCACCGGATGACTTCATAAATTCTCTTTGTAAGAATCAGTTAAGAAGTCGGTAAGCCACAGTGAAGAGTTTCTCTCGCCAAGCGTTCGTCAGCAAGCCAGACAATTTATCTCATGTGTACCCGTTATCCGCAACTTGATACGGTCCACAAAATTAATTTAATACCCCCATCAATAACACGAGTAAGTCACAATAAACATGTCTAGCCGCCTTCGTTAACTCAATTATAGCTAGCGGAGTAATTATACAGTAATTTTACGCTTTGCATCTAAACAGGCAGAACTCTCTCAATGTTTGGAGATCGCTAACAATCTGTCCATCTGTACCGCATGGGATTTGTTGCGGAACTAATTTGTCGGTAACTAATACAACAATCGATTTGTTATTTTTTACGAAACGCTTCGCCTTGTAATTAATTGATTGGAATTGTATCAGGCTGTCCTCAAACTGTTTGTTTACAGACACAATAGAGTGACGCTAGATTCGCGATTATTTTATCCTGTTTAGGACAAGAGCACAGCAACTTTTAACTTAGTATAGTAAGTCTTTGAATGATGGACACAAAGGAATAGTGAACGAGGAAGCAAAACTCGTCTCTATAACTCCATGTTAGCTGATTGTGACGTTTGCGACGAGGGACGAACGACCGCCTATTATAGTAGCAACATTCTACAACATACTTAATCTGTATCAGAAAGAAAAAACGTTGTACTCAGGTATATTTGTCAACGCCTACAACAACGCGCTTGTTAAGCCGCTGCCCGCCTAAACAGAACTACTACGGTCCAATTAACGAGAGAGCTCGGTCCGATGCTTGGCGCCCATTTTATTTCGATTTAGTATCATATGTGTGATGTAAAGTGATTGTTGTGTTTCGAAAAACGTAACGTAATACCGTCTAACCTTCTTCCAAACTGCAATTGTCTACATTCGTGATTTTTACAAGGATTGTTGGATAGAGACAAATAGTGCTTATCTTGACGTGTGTAGATATCAAGTAATTTATTTGTTTGTATCTATCTTCCAGGGTCCCAGAGACAACCTCACAGACACGGACTCGGGTTGTGTATCTCCAGGCTCACGTATCAAGGATTCCGCGTCGCCTGAACTCAAACGAATGGATTCCGGATACAAATCCCCACACGCTCCTAGTAGCCCCTGTAATCCCCGACGGCACTTGGGAACACCACACGATGACTTCAAAGAAGATTTTGCGAGGGCCCAAGTGCTAGCCGACATTTTAGACAAGAACTCCGAAGCTACCAGTGATTCCCTCAAAAGCAACCCAGTCAAGGAACATTTGGAACAAATGATACTGAATGCGGCGTCTGCTGAGGACAGGGCTTGCTTGGAGCAGGTTTTAATGCTGCTATACAACCTACAAACGTTGAGCAGTTCTGTCAGCGAAGATGAATGCTATCAGGTGAGTAAAAAAATAAATAAAATCTGTCATTATTTGACATAAAAAAAAATCAATAATCAACACGATGTAATAGTTTAGCAATAAATAAAACAATAACCAAATTGCCGTTTTAAGGTAAAACCGAAAAAAATATGTGACCTGAGATTCAAACAAGAAACTGACAAGACTCATAAGGCGATCGCAACAGTAACGCCTTACCAACAGAAAGGATACAAATGTGAGTCCTTGGAGAGTCTTTGCAGTGAAGAGCGAAAACCAAGCAACATTCTGCAGGAGAGCGGCATCTTTGAAGGTGTAGAGACAGAGTCAAAGAGTACACAAACAGACGTCAACGAAAGTTTTGAATGTAGCGGTGAGCTAAACACCGAAATACAACGACTGAATAGTATAAGAGAGAAGTTAGAGAGACAAGGAGTTAGAAATAGGACACTAAGTACTAAAGAAGATGGCGACGGCTTGGAGTGTAGGTGTGTGAAGTTGGGGAAGAAACACAAGCAGTATTACGAGCGGAGGCTTAAGTTCTTGGAGGGAAAGATCTCGATTTACGAAGCAGCACAAGACGTTAAAGAGGCTAAGTTAGCACAGAGATTGCAGAAAGAGTTCCTTCTTGAAAACAGAATACAGGTAAATATGAACAAATATTTAATGAAATCAAACATATTGACAACTTTTATGATGACCCTAATATATCTGGCAAAGAAAGTGTATTGGCTCCTACTGTTACCGTAATGTTTTGTTTTTGTTGTACAGGAGCTCGAAACGCAACTATCCGAATTACAAGATAAGTACGAAAGATTAGAGGAAGATTGCTGTGAACTAGAAGAAATCGAAAATGACACCCGTTTGCATTGGCAGCAGTAAGTATCGTGACGTCATTATTACATTTTAATATGCGTAGCAATAATGTTTATTTAGTTTGAACGCGATAGTAATGGATAGGAATGCAGTCGATGGCCTTACAAAAATGTTGAATATTTATGAAGGAATTCTAATTGTATACCTGTTACTTATCTATGACTTTAGCAGTTAAGCCAAATTTTTTTAGGTACTACATTTCTAAACTTTCGAAATTTTTTAAAATAAGAATTCGAATGAGAATATGTAATTTTATGCAACTGGTAAAATACAATGTTATTGTTTTATTTTCTAATGAAATATTTTTCGTTTCCAGGCTTGAGATGGACTATGAGCTCTGTTCAGCTCAATTAAGAGACATGACTGAGCAACGAGAGTGTTCCCGGTCACAGGCCGAGCGCCTGATGGCCGAACTTACGAATAGGGAGTGCACCTTAAAAGCAAGAGAGGTAAGATACCTACTTTTAGTGAATACGAATTGAAAAAGAATTTGTTTAGGATTCTTCTAATAATAGTCTTCAGAACTATCCCTGGTACCTATATAATATCATGGTTGATGTTTTCGGAACAATACCTATTTGAGAATGAAACAAAAAAAACATGTAGTTCATGTATGAATCTGTGATACGACCTGCAGCGCAACCATTGCAGTCTAAAATAAAACATGTAATCAAATTGATGATTTAAGTAATCGATTTATTAACCAATAATTTTGAATTATCTCATTGAAATCTGAATCAAACATTTATTTATGATGTTCAAATAAAATAATACCTCTATGTTTGTATTTTCAGAATGAGTTACGTTCGAGGTTAGAGAAGCTGGAGAGAGCGGTGCCAGCACTAATAGCGTGGAACGTTGTTCAGGCTGTGGGTGCTGATCTATCGTGTGGTGGCAAGGTATCTACTACTCCTGATATCAAATGTAAAATAGGACACATGACAATACATTTCTCAAAGGATGCTATTTCCAATCCCCTTAAGTATACTTTAATCTTTCTACAATAGAAATTTGGTCACATCCATTTAAAGTTACGTCTAAACCTAACGAGTTTTATCTTATTTAATCAGGTCAACCTAGTACCCCCAAAGAATAGAATTCTAAATCCAATTGTAAGTATACTTTACACAAATGAAGTTTGGCCACATCCATTTAAACCTAAATCTAAACCTAATAAGTTCTATCTTCTTTAATCAGGTCAGCCTAGTACCCTTAAAGAATACAATTGTCAATTCATGTGTAAGTATACTTTTGAAAGGATTTTCTTTAAACTCTTAACCGTTGAGGAGTTATACCTTCCATCATCAGCTCATCGACATTAGCTGTTGGTCTAAAGAGCTTTATGAAATTGTCAGAATAAACATACTTACTCCTTATGATTTGAGGGTTGCCCTCGATTTCCTTGAGATCTCATCATATGCTGACCAGATCGTTAAATCGAATAAGAAATACTTAAGTTATTGACGTACTAAATAATATGTGAAAGATCGTGAAAATGTCGTCGTTTAAGTAATTATAATGTTCATAAAATCAAAATTACTGAATCAATCTGCATAATTTTTTATGTAACTAAATTTCAGCTACTTCCCTTGTCTAATCCTTGTACACATAGTACATAGAAAATATCACCAAAAACCATAACGGCCAAATTGAGAGCCTCCTTCTTCTTCCAGCAGTGGATGATACTGGATTCTTTATATTTTTTTTGTACGCGATTACAGGTTTCATGTGGTAGCTTAAAGTCATAGTAGCAATGAATAAATCGATTAATTTTTTATAATGCTTTCTTCCACAGCGAGCTTTAATAAACCGTATGAGTGGTTACGGCGAGGACACTCGCAAGGCCGTACAGCAGATACGGCAGGAGTGCCGGCAGTTCGGCACCCGGTGCGGCGCGCTCGTCGCCTGGAACGACATCGCCACCGGCTCCACACCCACCGAACAGGAGTTGCAGAAACAAGTCAACAAGTAAGTGAAGACAATTTTAAAATAAATTTTGTCACAAATACTTATTTGAACATCTATCAAGAAGGTAAGGTTAAGTTTGCGATTGATGAAATGCAGAATTAACAAGCTGATGATATATAAATATTTGAACCAATAATATTATGTTTTGCGGGCATATCTTATGTATCATATACCTAATTCAAACATTATTTCTTATTTTCAGGTTATTAACCGAAAAGAAGAGGATAGAAGGTCAAACAGAAGAAACAAAGAAGAAGCTCGAAATGAGAGTCCAGGAATTGGAAGAAGAATTAGATACTGCGAAGAGACAGATAGCAGCAACTGTCTGCGGAGGAGAGGCTAAGAAAGAGAAGATTGAAGAACAAATCTCAGATTTAGAAGTACAGTTGCGAAAAGATCAAGAAACTGGAAAGGTTTGTCATAGAATCTGTATTGGCAATAGAATCGTTAACTTAGAAATATGTATTTTATTAGTGACGTTGTTTTATTGAAGCTAACATCGTTTAACGAGAAAAAATATTTATATCACTGGATTTTAGGATGTTTCAATGTAGTTTTAATTTTATTTTAATCTTACTAACAAAACTAATACAATAATGGAAATATTATGCATACATAAGTTACTCAAACAAAACCAAGTTTCGTAGGACAGATCCAACTGATGGAATAGAAAACACGATCTGACTACCATTCATAGTGATTCTTGATAACATACTCATACATACTTGTGCAAACTAGAGCGTTGTTATATCGTATGCAGTAGCACATAAAATCTCAAACCATGACGATTCGTTTGATGAAATCTTGATCGGATTTTGCTAGGTACCGGAGAACTGATAAGTGTTGCGCTTTCTTGTTGCTTTAGACATCGTTAGTGTTAATAGTATTTCCAGTATGCTATACTTCGTTTTACTTTAGGTGCAGCATATTATAGAATTTTGCTATTTATGCAGCACTATTTTTAGTGTAAATTTTGTAAATACGAACAAGTGTGACTCAGCATCCTGACACCATAGTTCATAATCTTGTAAACATCTTTGGTGTGAATTTTTTACAATACATTTTAACGAAGAACTTGTTTTATCTGCAGCAACCCGCAGACCCGGCGATGGGCACTAAGATACGAGCATTGTTGATCAGCGAACAAGAACTAAAGAACAGGGTCTCAGAGCTGGAGAGAAGGGAGGCAGCGTACTTGGAGATGTTGACGCAAGCAGACGACATGTGGGCCGAGATGGAGGGCGGCTACAAGAAGAGGATTCAAGAGTCGCAAACACTGGAGAACACACTCAAAAACAAGGTGAGATTGTTCACTCATTTGTGTGCTTGGAAGGCGATCAGAAACTTATTGCAGATTGTATATAACTTTTGCATAAGTTCTGCTGTATGTATAATTGCTATGTATTCTACTGAAAAGTAAATTAACGTATGCAAAGTTATTTTTTTTCAGCGTCTCTTTTAGTTTGTTATTGAATTAGGTCTTAACAATTAGGCTTAAACTAAGTGTCTGGCTATGGTCACGTTCTTTTGTAGGGTTGATGATTTCACTATTAACTCGACTGATATTTTTACAGGTTCAGAAAGTAGAAACTGAGCGCGACCACTATAGGAGGTGCTTTGAACCGCTAAAGAAGAAACTGAAAGAAGTAGAAGAGTCTGAATCAGGAATGCGCATAGCGTTGGAGAAAGCTGAGAGAGATGCTAAACACCTCAAAGATCAGAACACAACTCTACACAGCGAGCTAAAGAAGGCAGAGGCAGAAGTTAGAAAATCTGAAACAGCGTTCAAGACTCTCGATGCCAAGTTCAAGGTATAATAAACTCCTCAGAAGTAGTACGAGTACTTTTACATTTCTTTCTTATCAAAACTATTATTTTACCATCATGCCATTTAAGAAATCAAGATACAAAATACTAATGTGTAGATGATGATCTCACGTTTAAACTTTTTAAAATAACTTTAAGAAGTTCTACCTAAATAACGTAAGTAGATTTAAAATTTAAATTGAAATGAATTTGATTACAGAAAGAGATAGAGCATTTGCGAAAATTGAATAAAAACTTGGACACTGATCTGAAGAGTCAAAAGGAATCAGCGAAAAGGTCGGAGAAGAATTTCATCGGGGACCTGGAGTCTATCAGGAAGGAACTGGCTCGAGCTTACAAGAATAATCAAGAACTAGAAGTAACTAATAGTGAACTAAAGGAGGAGGTATGTTTGAAAGGCTAACATAAAATAGGGGCAATAGCGATTAGCAGATTACTTAAATTAGAAATAAACTACAGATATTTATAACTTAATCTATTAATGAAAATATGGGAATGGTACTTATCTTAATTTTAACATTTCTCATTGGAGGAGGATAATTATTTTTACTCATAATTAGCGACATCAGTAACTTAATATTTTATATTTGAGCGTTATAGTTAGCAAGTAGTTAATGGCTTAGCTATATGTGTAGTTGCTTTGGGTATGCGAATGGTAACGCTTTCTATGTTTTGCTGCTTTTTAAACTAACACACAGTGCATGAATGCTTCACACCTATCTTGATGGATCAAATCGCTCGGCTCACGACAGTGCATGCTCCGTACTGTGGTTGTGATGTAAATATGCATGGAAGCCTTCGAGGAAATTCTAAGAAGAAATGTGTTCTCAGGTCGAATCTCTGGAAAAACAGCTTGCTTTGACTCAGAAAGCTCTAACACAATGCAAAAGGAAGTGTGATGAGAAGGTAAAGACTTTAAGTCACGAATTGTCCATCAAAACTGAGGAGTTAGAAGAAATGAGGAGTGAATCTATGCGACAGTCGTTCCACGCTTCTCGCGTAGAATTAAAGCCGGATAGGACCGAATATATTGACGAAGGCTATTCTGTATACACGGCTGTACCAAAGAAGACAGACTACGGGAGAATGCATCATAGTATGAGCTACATAACGTCGGAGTCTCGTTGCTCGTGCCCGGCGATGCGCACCCAGCTGGTCGGCCAGCTGATTGAGGATCTGTTTGAGAGGGTGCACAACACTGTCGACGACGACCTGACCAGGCTGTGCAACGACATCAGTTTGATTCATAGTAGAGAAGTGACTGCTGAAACCAAAGCGAAAATTACAAATTACCTCTTAATGGCTATCTCGAAGGAGCTCGTTAGGTCTATAGGGGACGCTGATGCTAAGACTGATACAGAGGTCAGTATGGTAACAGTTTGTTTCTCATTAATAATTACCATCCATTGTGACTAAAGTATAATTGCATTAGATTAAGTATGTTTGATTTTACTAATCAATTTAAGAATCATGTCAACCTAATAATGGTTTCGGTCGATATATTTAATTTTAATGACGTGGTAACCTGGGTTGTTTGATGTAATATCTTCTACCTTGTGTTTTCTTTCACTTTTTATTTTATTTTATACGTCTTAGCTGATTAATAAACTGAGGATAAAATATTTTATAAATGCAATGAAAGATAAGATCATCACGTCACTCAGTTATATGAGCATGTGGTAGTAGCAGCCCATGCCTACAATAAGAGTGTGCGCAGGAGTGGCGGTGCGGCGCGTCGCCGCTGTCGCAGGCGAGCGCGCAGCTGGCGTGCCCGGCGCCGCGCGCGTCCAACGCGAGCGTGCTGGCGGGCGCCGAGCGGCTGGCCTCCGTGAGCTGCGCGTGCGCCGCCGCGCGCCTCGCTGCCAGGCGACCCGACCTCGCCAGTGCTGTCAAACGCTGTCAGGAGGTAATCTACTTTGATTTATCTGTTGTTTTTTATTTATTTTAATCGCGAGATTATTTTTTAAGAATATCAAATGTGACTTATAATGAAATAAAGTAAAAGGTATGCATTCTATGTAAAAATCTGTTTCTTTTTATAAATATATTTTATGCATGATCTGATAATCTACTTAACAAAAATTGCCCTGTATTATGTAAATATGAAACAGATTCATGAGAAAAAACAGTTATAAAATAAATGTAACAATCAAATGAATATGGAAAAACCATATGATTCAAATCAATTCAATTAATCAAGATCAATGATTGAATTTTATTTATTGGATTTTTTTATGTATTCACAATGTAAGTTATAAATGTAAGTTATAATTTTGTAATTGTATTTATCCTTGAGAAAAATGAGTTATGTATGTAGAAGTAGATTTGATCTGACCCATGAAATAGGAGGAAAAAGTATTTGTAGCTAATATTTTACTTATTGGTGTAGTATGATGTGCTGGTATCAGAGAAAAGATACGATATTTTTTTATTGATATATGATTATTTTTTTTAATATGTTTATTTGTATAACTAACTCAGCCAATTATTTCTATTTGCAGGAAGTTCTGGATCACGGCGATGTTAAAATCATGGAGGAGCAATTAGCGAATGCAATCGAAAGTATTGTTGTAAGTATTAAATTATTTATTCAATTTTATTTACTGATATTACTATAAACAATTTTAATTTATAAAAATAATGACTATTAATATTTGAAAATTGCTATATAGTTTTTAAATACGAACTGACTAAGTTTGTAAATTGACCAATCGTCGTATTTACGACCAATTCTATAGTTGCGTTGGCAATTTGCGCGTCTATAAGAATAATTTTGCGGTAAACGCTGCTACGCTCTACGAACTACGATGCGCTACGAACGACGAGCTATGAACTACGATGCGCTACGAACGACGAGCTATGAACTACGATGCGCTACGAACAACGCGTTACGAACCATGCGATACGTACTAAGTGCTATAAGCTACGATTGCAAGTTGTTTTGACATTAACAAAAATATATATTTTTTGTTACAGAATTGTCCATCTTGTGCGTTGGGTACAAATGCGATAGTTTGGAGCACGGATGTTTAACGCCATTTTCGTGCGATTTTATGTAAGTTTTATGAAATCTTTTATTTTATCATCGATTTGATGAATTACAGAATTATGTAAATATGTACAGTAAAACGGGGTGAATAGAATTCGAGGGGTAAGAAGAGAGAAGAGGAGGGGAGAGGAATAGGGTGAATAAATGTTAAAATATTTTCCCAACATTTATTGACCCCTCTTCTGTATCTATTCACCCTTCGAATTCTATTCACCCCGTTTTACGGTATATGTGAACTCCACAACACCGGAGAAAATTATAGTGTGGGGCAACATTTATTTAAAAAAATAGCTTTCGAGACCTTTTCTACTCAATACTTATTTTGATAATTATTATACATGTTAACATAACTTTTTCTTGGTAGGATATTTTTTTATATTCTGTAGTATAAGATAGATTAAAAATAGGTACACAAATTTGGCAGATTAAATAATTTGTTTGCAGACAATAACTGATAATTTTGCTTCATTGGGAAATTTTTTTATTATGTCTCAAGCAAAACTAAAATTTGGATGTTGTGAACGTCAGACGTCATCGACGGGATTTTTACACTGTCAATCCTGTAAATTCAGATATCACCTAAACTGCGTAAATATACAGCGACCCCTCAAGGATTTAACGGAAGACTTTAAACTGAAGTACATTTGTCCTGGATGTCACAGTAAATTGCCGAAGGTTGATAACACTAATACACCAATAAGACCCAGTAGCCAATCGGCAACCTGCTATCAATTGGACGAACCTAGTACTAACGTAAACAACAGACGAGGCGGCCAACCCCTGCATCAACATGAACCTAGTGTGACAACTGAGGATATTAGACTAATCATTAAGGAAGAACTGAAAAACGTGTTCAATAATTTCAAAGTTAGTATATTAAAGGAGGTCGAACGTAAAACTCAGGAAGTCTTGGATCGCTTTAACCAAATATCGGATGCATTAAAGATATTTGAGCAAAACCAAGCTAACCTAAAAGACGAAGTCACCTTAAACTCTAACAGGATTAATACATTGGAAGCGGAAAACACTTCACTCAGAGAATCAGTAGCTGATCTCCGATCTAGACTCGCTCGATCTGAACAATACTCGCGGGCCACAAATTTAGAAATACAAAACGTGCCCGAATTCAAAACTGAAAATCTGTACTCGGTAGTCAAGCAGATTGCAACAGTAAGTGGCTACAAATTGGAGGAAACTGACATACAGCAGTGTACGAGAATAGCCAAAATTAACAACGAGAGCCGACGCCCTAGATCAATAATAGTAAAATTTAACACGCAAAGAATACGAGACGGCTTTCTGGCTGCAGCGTTGCAGTTTAACAGGAAAAACAAAAACCCAACTGACAAACTAAACACGAGTCAGCTTGGTATTGGCGGTGATAAGAAGCCAGTTTTCGTTGTTGAACATTTGGCGCCAGCACAGAAGGCTTTACACGCCGCAGCACGCGCCAAGGCAAAGGAACTACACTACAAATTTGTTTGGGTGAGGGGAGGTAAGATATATGTAAGAAAAACTGAATCGACAGAATACATAAATATTAAAAATATTCAAGATTTGTCTAATCTTACCAAGTAGCCTGTTGATTTGTTGATTGACTGGATTATTATTTAGTATTTTACTGCTTGATTGTTTTTGCTTAATTGTTCGAGTATTTGGTTATTTGATTGCTGTTTTGTTTGATAATTTCGTAGTTTCATTGCTTATTTAATTGCTTATCTCTTATAACATATATATATCTCCTCATACTCGGTTACTTGATTGTTTGCTTGTTTGATTATGTGATTATTTAACTGTCAGACTAATTGATTATTTGATGTTTGACTGTACTTACTTACATTGTGTTTATTGTTTAATTGTTCTATTGGTGTTGAAAAAACTGCATGACAACTGATTGTTTGAATATATACTACCAGAATGTAAGAGGACTTAGAACGGTTTCGGCTGAAGTACGTCAAAAGATTAGCAATAACAATTACGATGTATATATATTTACAGAGACATGGCTTAACGGAGGATGCTTTGATTGTGAATTTTTCGAGAGTGGCTACAATGTGTACAGACGTGACCGAGAGACAACAGCTTCTACTAAATCTGGGGGCGGTGGTGTCTTGATTGCGGTGTCGGATCGACTTGTATCTGCACGGGTTAATGAATACGAAGGCGATTGCGAGGATGTCTGGGTTACAATCTCCACGGCGTCGGGTAAAAAAGCGACTAAACTTAATATCTGCGCCATCTACTTTCCGCCACCTGTCACAATCGGTGACGTAAAGATATTTACAGATAAAGCCAATACTATATTACAGAACTGTTCCGACCAAGGGTGTACGTTGATTGCGGGGGATTTCAATATGGGTGGCATAACTTGGCAACAAAATAATGACAGTGATACTTTGGGCATGACCCCTGTCGGTTACGGTAGCAGTGAACTGTTCTGTAGACTCGTTGACTTTTTAATGTTGAGTAACTTAGGCCAGTTTAATAATGTTACGAACATAAATAATAAGACCCTTGACTTAATTTTTTGTAATAGAGAGTCTGTTATGCATATTAGAGAATGCCAGAATCCTATAAAAAATATTGATAAGCATCATCCCGCGCTAGAGTTTCAATTAAAGCTATCAATAGTAAAACTAAATCAATCAGTTAAAATAAAGCGTAAAAATTTCCACAAGGGTGACTATTCCGCTATTAATGAACATCTTAAATATGTTGATTGGGGAAAAGAACTAAAACATTATGACAATGTAAACGAAATGGTATCAAGATTTTACGAAATAATACACGAAACCATTAGTAAACATATACCTATGACAAATAACCGTCCTAAATCTTATCCTGTATGGTATTCACCGCAATTAATTAAACTACTTAAAATGAAGTTTAAATATCATGAAAGATTTAAAAAATATGGAAATCCATTGGACAAATTAGAATTTGATTATTTAAGGGCTGATACCAGCCGAATGATAAAAGAATGTTATAAAAAGTACATAGTCGCAATAGAATCCGATCTAAAGAAAAATCCAAAGTTCTTCTGGACTCATATTAAAAATTTAAGAAAAAACTGCTCATCCTATCCCAGTACTATGACACTGAATAACATTGTGAATTCGGACACACATCGAATTCCAGACATGTTTGCCACCCACTTTTCTTCGGTTTATGAGCCAGACGGCAGTGATCTTGATAATTATACGATTGATCCTGCAGTTCACTTGAGCCCAAATATTCAAGATGTGCTCAACCCTCCTCACTTCAGCCCTGAAGATGTCAATAAGAAACTGAAGAAGATAGACATCACGAAAGGAGTAGGCCCTGACAACGTCCACCCTCTTTATCTGGCTAGGTGTGCAAATGGACTAACCCCGCCATTGTGCATGCTTTTTAATAGGTCTTTGGAGACGGGCGAGTTTCCTGATGCATGGAAGTTGGCAAGGGTGGTACCCGTATACAAAAATGGCAAAAGGGACCATGTTTCGAATTATCGGCCAATTGCTATAATTTCCACAATCGCTAAGATTTTTGAGTCTATGGTACACGCTGTCATTTATGCTCACACACAAAAATGTATAATTAATGAACAGCACGGCTTTATGACAAGGAGATCTACATGCACGAATTTGGTTCTCTTTGCCTCTGATTTAATGGAGTCCGTGGACAGGGGGACACAGGTAGATGCAGTCTACACAGACTTTTCAAAAGCGTTTGACAAGGTGAATCATAAATTATTATTGGACAAACTATACATGTTCGGTATAACTGACAACATCTTAGACTGGTGTCGATCCTACCTTACAAAACGTCCAATGGAGGTGGTGGTAGGGGGCGAGAAGTCGAAACCCTTTTTGGCGCTCTCGGGTGTTCCGCAGGGTTCTGTTCTGGGACCATTATTCTTTAACATTTTTATCAACGACCTACCGGAGAGTATAAAGTATTCGAGGCTGTACCTTTTCGCTGACGATCTAAAACTGACCAAAGATATTAAATGTATGGAAGACTCAAAACTTCTACAGGAAGACGTTGGCTGCCTCCAAAATTGGTGTATTAATAATGGAATGTTCCTAAATGCTTCAAAATGTCACCATATAAAATTGACCAGGAAACGTAATAAATTTCACACTGGCTACACAATAAACGGTACTAGACTAAAGGAAGTAGACACGATAAAGGACCTGGGATTTACCGTTGATAGCCAGTTGCGCTTTTCAGATCATATCGATCGAATTATAAAAGAAGCAAACAAGTCATTAGGATTTATTCTTCGTAATACTAAAGACTTTAAAAAGTCCTCCTCAATCATTTTGCTCTATAATAGTTATGTAAGAAGCAAACTGGAGTACTGCAGCACGGTTTGGAACCCAGATTATAACATACATAAAAGCAGAATTGAACGAGTACAAAAGAAATTGATTCGCAGTCTGTCCTGCCGATTTCAGACACCAGGAACAGTTAAAACATATGCGGAAAAACTAAAGCATTTCCAACTGGAAACGCTTACCAGGCGCCGTTTGTGTCTCGACATGTCCTTCTTGCATAAAGTAATAAACAATAAAGTTGACAGTCCTATGCTGGTTGGCCAATTCACGTATAATGTGCCTTCGAGAATACCGAGATACCCATGCAAACTGTTTAAAATCAAATTCTGTAGAACAAGAATGGGTCGCAATTCGCCGGTTGTTCGTTTGGCTCGTCTGTACAATGACCTGACAAGTACATTGCCAGGGATTGATATTCACCTTCAGCGCCTCCCTAAGTTCTTGAGAATGATCAGAGAGAGTGACGTACCTTAGCTTGTGGTTGACATTTCCTACTGGTTTTATGTTTTCTTTTTATTTTCCTTTGCCAATTTTTTTTTTTATTTTTTGACAAAATGTTTTTAATTTTAATTTTTAATTTTAATTTTATTTTGTACTAAATTTTTATTATCTCTTTTATAATAATATAAGTTAAAAAGCTATATGCATGCTGTGGTTACCTATAATTGTGAATACAGATAGTCTTAAGGTATTTTATAAGTCAAAAATATTTTCATTATGCAATATTGCTGTATTTATGTCGGTGATCCTATAAATAAATAAATAAATAAATAAAATAAGAATCCAATTGATTATTCTGTTCCAGGTGTAATACCTCCACCGACCTCACTCTGGTGCCTTCATTAGTTAAGCCGATAGAAACTTACGAACTGTAAATATATTTGTATCATAATAAAATAATACTCCTATTTTAATGAAGTAACGTAAGCGATAAGCGAATCATATCGAACAAGTGTACCTACATTCGAATAAGGAAACATTTAATACGCATCAATTGTCAACGTATTTTTGTTTAATTTTTTTTCTGTGCCAATTGTGTTTTGTAAAACTTGCGTGCAATAAGACTTTAGTAGGAAACTTTTTATTGCAGATCTGGTTATCATAATTGATATAATTATGTAGTCTTTTTTAAACGAACCAAAATAGTCGACAACTTTCTTATTGATTTTATTCGACCGTTTTTATTGTTTCATTGCAAGCAAGTATTGAGTATTGTTTTGTGTAAATAATATTATTATTATTCGATGACGAATCAATGTTTTGTTTTATTAACAATCGAGTCACTCACAAAATTAGATACATTGTCTTTCTCTATTTTATATAATAAAAAGATGATTTAATTTAGAAGATGATTCATTGATTGATTAAAAATTTATTATTTAAATTGTGTTGTTTTATTTTAATGTAATGCTTTTCTTATTTAGATATGAATCTTTGACAAGAAATGGGAGTATTATGGTGATAGAAGATCACAGCATCTTAATACAAACGAATATTATTAGTGTAAAAGTTTCTGAGTATGTATGTACCTATGCAAATATATAATTATGTTATTGTTTGATCGGACCCAGGTAAAAAAATCTTAGTAGGTGTTTGTACCTTCCATTTACCTCTGACCCCTGTCTATCTCTAGTCGCGCTCGTCGTCTCGGCATGGATCCGACACCGAGCGTGAGACCTTCGTCTGCTGCGCGTGCGGCACCGAGACGGAACCTGTCCCCAAAACCGCCACTTGTGCGTGCTGGCACGCGGACGAGCCGCGTGAACGCCCCGTCGGCGTCCGCTCCGACATTTCTAGCGCTGTCAAACGTTGTCAGGAGGTCAACCAAGTTTGTTTTACATATTAGGCCCCGACCGCACCACGGTTTCTTCTCCTAGTTAACCGTAAAACTGCCGAGGTCACTACGGTTTTAAACCGCGGAGCTACCCACGATATTTTCAACCTCGATGAACTGAACTAGCAATTTTCCGGCCGCCAAAATTTTGTAACATTTTACGGTTTTTAAATCAGCCGTGGGACAAATCCGTAAGTGCGGGCGCTTGTAGGTTCTAATACGGTTTCTTGTCACACAAAATTGCTCGTTTTATAAGCACCGTAGTGCGGCCGGGGCCTTATTAAGTTGTTATTATTAGGTACTATTGAATGTAGTGATGTCACAATAAAACATCACCTAGAGAATTTTAGCATCTTAGCATCATCTAGAGAAATGTCAACATGGCTGATACATGGTATTAGATTAGAAATGTAGCAGTTGATAAACAAATAATTGTTTTGTAGATAATCTATACAGAATTACAGAATTACATTTCTTGAGTCCTGACTGACTAATTCATAATCGTCGAGTGCAACTATTGACTATCGTCGGTCAGCCGTGACCTCCTTGGCGTTTAACGTGTTTATTTAGTAAGCACTCCCTAAGAATGGATTTTAAGAAATTCCACCCTAAGGGGTTAATATAAGTTGTTGATTTATATGAAAATTCGTCATTTCGAAAGTAAAATAAACAAAGTTTCGGTTTTTGACGTAAAATGAATAAGTAAGTGTGTATGTGTTTCAGCAATTTAGGAAATTTAACTACTTAAATAAAGGATGTAACAAGGGCTTAAAGTTTGTATGGAACTTGTAGGTACTGTTTATTATCTTAGGAACACTAACTACTAAATACACTAACTTTGTGTTTAGGAATTTTGAAAAGTTTACTTAATACGGGATGAAATAGAGGTTAAAGTTCGGGCCGCGGGAAACAACTAGTTTTATACATAAAATGTAGCGAGCTGTATTTAAGGAAAAAGTAGTACTTACCCAAAAATAATTAAAGATATGCAAGGGGGACAGACGACCTGATTAAGGTCGCAGGGAGCCGCTGGACGCAGGTTGCTTCCCACCGGTCTATCTAGAAGTCATTGGGGGAGGCCTATGTTCAGCAGTGGACGTCATATGGCTGATATGATGTTGATGATTATATAAGAGTTTTTTTATACGATAAACCGGTAAACGAGCAAACTGATCACCTGATGGCAAGCAATCGGCGTTGCCCATGGACACCTGGAACACCTGAGGCTTTACAAGTGCGTTACCGGCCTTTTGGGATTAGGAATTTGATTTGGGGTAATTGGGCCTCTGTTCACCTCACTCACACGACGAAACACAACGCAAGCGTTGCTTCACTGTGTGGCCGTGGTATCATTCCGGTCGAGCCGGCCCATTTGTGGCGAAGCATGGCTCTCCTACACTTAATTTTATGTTAATTAGTCATCTGTTATTATAGTAGGATCTTATTTAATAGTTTTCGTGGGTATCTACTTATGAGAATATCTATAAATTGTTAGTTAACGCGCTCCGTAACTAAAAACTGACGAACATTATTTATATAAGTCCAAGGACGTTGAAAGCGTCCTTGTGTAAGTTCATAAAAAAGTTTAGCTTCGTTTGTACTCAGTACTCAACCACAAAAAAGTAATAAAAAGAAGAATACAAATAATTTGATTTCATGACAGCCGTCAAACAGCCATCATAAAATTAAAAATGGATTGTCAGGTTACGAAGATTTTATAAATAAATTTATAAAATAATTTATACAATAAATACCTACATAAGAAAAATGAAATACAAAACGTATTTATAACAAAACTTATTGGGATGTAGGTGATGGAATGAGGTAACAACTACTTATAGGTATCTAATAGGTCCTGTAGTTTTGGTTTTGGTAGATTATCGTAGTTTTGGTACCAAAAAGGTGTGAATTTTCGAACAAGGTTTCTGCGACTACAGCCATGTACTGATCTTACAAGGCATTTACTTTGAGTTTATCATTTTTAACATTCAATAAGTTCATCATGTCTCGTTGTACAAATTGACCTACCTACTACTGCTGTCCAGTAAATGACATGTTTTCCATCAGGTTTTGAAATCAGCAAGCTTGGTTTGCGGCAGTTTGGGGTCGAAGATTACAGCAAAAATATCTGCAACATCAAGGCCGAATCAAAATAAAAAAGCGTAAACAACAAGAAAAAAATGTGTAGCGTAATACCATCTTTATTCAAGAAAGTGGACGTGTCATGTTCATGTACAAATTGTGACTCTGTATTTTGTTTTGCGAAGGACAATGAGGTCAAGTCCTGCTCGTGCGAGGACTGCTCAGGCTCCAAGACCTGCCTGTTCTACTCCGCCGTTGGCTTATATGGGAGTCACTCAGACGCAACGAATGCTCGTTCTTCTTCAAGAACATTGCCGAATGTTGTGACCGATGTAGCTCGATACATAGCTTCCAGTGTAGCTCAGTTAGTATCTCCTCAAACTATCAATCCAACTGTCAATTCATCATGTTGTGCAGCCACATCGCCAACTACTACAACAACAACTAATGACACCGGTACTAATACAATAGAATTGTATAGAAAACTTAATTTACAATGTTCGAGAAATAAAATAGAACAATTAAAGAAGACATACTTGTCACATAAAAAGAAACCTAGCGCACCTGCCTTGGCATGCGATGCAAATGCCTGCCAGACAGAGCAACAGGATTTCATAACAAAAAAACCTGTAGCAAGTGATCGTACAACGGGAATTTATAGAACTGAGATATTAAAACAAAAATTGGCTGCGGAAGCACTTAAAAATATTTATGTGCCAGATTTAGCTTCAAATAAAAAACCCACTGGATGTACTATAGATTCAAATAAAAATAATCAAATCGATCAGTGTCCTCAAAACAAGCCAATCAAACCAGCAAATAAAGGATCAGAAAGTTTTGATTTTACTCATATATTGGATTCAAATTGGAATACAATTGAAACACCTGGATATCAATATGCACACAAATCTCAAAATTGTCAATGTATTGACTGTGTGAAACATAACGAAGAAAAGGACGCCACCCACGTACTTATGTTTGAGCCTCCTGGATATATACTTGATTTACCGAAAATTCAATTATCACAGAAGTATATATCTCACTCGACGTCTTGCAGTTGCGAAGGTGAGAAATCAAAGGTACCTAAGGAATGCACAAATGTATCAGATACTGCACAGAAAGAAAAGTGTGCGTGTGTGACGAAAAAGATGTCTGGTTCTCAACAAGGCGGTCAATGTGAATCCAATGCAAAATGTAAATGTGTAACACAGAAGCTGGAGAAACCTGAAAGTAAAATTAAATGTACGGATAGTAAGAACAGTAAAGTTGATGCTGCTGGACATGTAACGGATGTACCGACAAACAACGTACCAATTAAAACATGTGTTGATAAATTGAAAGAAAATTGTTTTAATAATTCAACGTTTTGTAGTTACCATGTTGAAGAACAAAAACCTACACATAAAATTGAAGAAAAGAAACCTGAAACTGAATCGAAAGGAACCGATCAATCACCGCTCATTTCAAAGGACACGAATATTAAAAATACACAAGACCCGAATCAAGTTAAACTTGAAACACTGCAAGAAGTATCCAAAAAAGATAATTGTGAGTGCAATGTAACAGGAAAAGTAAAATATGAATCTAGTGGGTATGTTTTAGAACTGGAACAATATAAGCCAACGAAAAACGCCCAAGACTTAGTTAAAGATGTACTTGTGACACAAGAAAATGTTGTGACTGAACTACCAGATACGAATATGCTTAAGAAAAAATTATGTGAGTGCAAAGCAAAACCAAAAAGTAAGGTTGAGCCATCTGGATATGTGTTTGACTTACCAAAAAGTATACCTAAACAGAAAGGTTGCGATGTTGTATCTAACCAGAAATGTAACGAGATTATATGTAATGATAAAAAGAGTTTGGGAAGTGGTACTTCTAAAACCAAAATCGAATTGCCAGGATATGTATTTAAACAAGTAATAATACCCGAGAAGAAAAAGTGTGAATGTAGTGAACCACCAAAATTAATAGGATTTACATTCGAGTCACCTAAAGTTGTACACTGCGTGAACATGGAACCTCGTGATGTATGTGGATGTTCAGCCTTTAATGAAAATAATACAAATATGAACTGTAAATGTAGATCAACAGCAAAGTGTAAATCGTCTGGGTTTATGCTTGATTTACCAACGTATAAACCTTGTCCATCAGCACGGAAAGATAGTTGTGGATGTCAAGGGCTAGACAAAAATAAGACAGGATCATATGGAAATGTGCTTGACTTCCCAAAGACTACTCAAAAAAGTTGTAAGTGTCCAGAATCTACAAAAAACACATTTGATATTAATCGACTTGAAATGTCATCCAAAAATTCAAATAAAAATAATGAGAGCTGTGTGTGTAAAGGAACAGCTAAATGTAGACAATCTTCTACACCAGGGTATGTGGTTGATTTGCCAACAAATAAGTCTGACGGTTGTGCGTGTCCTAAACCGCCAAAACCGCCGATAGCTGAAAATAAATGTGAATGTAATGATGCATGCAGAAATATAGCAAGTTCCAATCAAGAAGGATTTAACAATAAAGATTTAGAAGAATTAGCTGCAAAATGTAAAGATAAACGATCTGGTTATATTTTTGATTTACCGGTGACTAAGCCCCAGAAAGGTAACTGCGAATGTCGGGAGACAAAAGAAAAGGTAAATCAACCAATATGTATGCCTAAACCAATACCACCTAAAAAAAATTGTGAATGTTCCGAACCAGAAAATAAAGTAGATTTAAGTAAATACGTTTATGTGTTACCGAAACCAAAACCACAAACTAGTTGCTGTAAATGCTGTCCTCAAATGACACAACAGAAACCCATACCAGAAACAAAAAAAAGTACCTGTGAATGTCGTGAGGAAAAAAACAAAGTGGATCAACCAACATGTATGCCTAAACCTAAAAAATGTGATTGTCCAGAACCAGAAAATAAGGTAGATTTAAGTAAATATGTATATGTATTACCGAAACCACCTAGTACATCCAAGACTAACATTAAGTGCGATTGTCGCCAGTCAAAAAATAAGATTAATGCTGAGTCTAATCAACCGGTATGTACGCCTAAGCCAATAAAACCGAAAGAACCGAAAGTCAACTGTCAATGCCCTCGTGAATCGGTATCATGTAAATCTAAACCAATAACACAACTAGAACCTTGTGAGTGCCCTTCTAAAACAAAAGAACTGGGAATGGATTCGTCGGGTTACGTGTTAGATTTGAAGCCATCAAAAAAAAAAAGTTGTGTATGTACCCCTTCAGAACAAAATAAATCCGACTTAGCTGGATATGTCTTAGAACTGCCTCGATATAAACGTACTGATCATAAGCCTGACAAATGTGAATGTACAGCAAAAAAGAAAACAGCATCAAAAGCCAATCAAGTATACAGAATTGAGACATCTGTCATATCTCCGGAAACACAAAATGTATGCAATAATATGCTTGGCAAACAGTCGGATACAAACGAGTTGCTTAAAAATTTGTGTGCGCCACGCTCAACACTAAAGAAACATACTGATCTATGTAAAAACATACTGAAAACACAAACAGAAGCAATTGAAATACTAAAAAAGATATATTTACCTCAAAAAGAGTTTCCGAAATCGCCGACAAACTCTGATGAACCCAACAAAAATCTAAATATGTCTAGTGATGATAAAACAATAGTCACATGCCCTAAAGAATGTCAAATGACTGAAGCTGAAGCCGACGAAGCTGCGCATTTACTCGGTACAGCGATGCTTAGTGCCGAAGTGATGAATATGCCTTATACAGAATTTAATGATTCTTTAGCTCCCAAGCAATCCGATATGGATAAACCAACAAAACTGTCAAAATATGATATTTTTAAAAGAATAAAAGAAGCTTACAAAGCTTGTAGTTGTAAAGTTTGTGAATGTATTGCCGGTAAGGTCAAATCCGAGGCTTGTAATTGTAAGCCTTGTGAATGCAACGAATGTCTGAGCTACATAAATCAAACTGAAACAAAAACATCAAACAACGGCATGGGCATTAACAGAAAATATCAATGCCATAGATGCATAACCGACAAACATTTAAGAACTGAGCATGGAACAAGCGACCAACAAATGTGTGATTGTAAACCTTGTGATTGTGTTGAATGTGCTAAAGTTATGGCGAAACTGTGTGATTGCGAACCATGCCAGTGTGTGGAATGTAAAACAAGAAGTATTCACCAACGGCAAACTTTAGTAGTTGCGCCTGTTGGAAGAGAAGAGAATGTTCAACGTTTAGCATGTTCGTGTTCGCCATGTGATTGCATCGAATGTGGACTCGTTCACTCTTTGCCTTCTAACGTAATGCATGAAATGGCAACGGGCACGAATAGACATGCTTTATGCAGATGCGAAATTTGTCTCAACGAAGTTTGTGATCAACATGGAATTGATTCCTGTTTATGTCAAAGGCGAAATAAGGTTATGAGTAAACCAGTTGAAAAAAGTACTCATGATTTCGATATACGAACAGCTACAACGAATTATAATAAACCCCTATATACACGGAGAAAAAAGAAATCTTCAACCCATGATACTATAGCAATGTACGCAGCAGTACCTACGAATTACCATGCCTTAACCTCTAATGATGACATATCAAGCAATTATCAAATGTGTAATTGCGACGAATGCGAGTGTTTACATTGCATTTGCCAAGACGAAGCAGTTATGAACATAAAATCGTCTCAACTGTTTTCTTCTTTTAGAACAATAACAAAATCCGATCTGAATGTCCCCAGCAAGTCCATATTAAACTCTCATGAAGATTGTAAATCGCAAAGGTCATGTAGTTGCCAATTGTGCAAAAGACAGTATGATTACAGCCATAGTATTTACACTTCAGCTTCCAATTTTACCGAAGACTGCGAATGTGAAACTTGTGAATGTATAAAATGTGGAAGGGATATAAAATCTGACCGTTATCTGTCGAACATTTCATGTCAAAGTATCAAATCAAAACCCACCTATGATATTAATTATAGAGAAGAAATGCTTGGGACTGCTTTACCACTTATTAAAAAAGGTGAAGTGTTAACTCCATCTACCCATAGATTTAAAGTACAAAATCAAGTTTTGCGAAAACAAAACTCTAATGCATTAAGCGTGTCAGTAAAGGAGGTGATGTCAAATAAAAAATCCCCAATAACTATTATTTCTCACAAATCGACAAATCAAAGTTCAAGGCTTTCTAAGCAATCATCCCGAATGAGTCCCTCAATCAAAATAGGTTCCATCACAAAAGCAAATATAATTGATACAAAAAAGACACAGATTATAAATAAAAATAATTCTATAGATAATGAAGTATCAAGTTACTTCTCTGGTTATTCGTCGTTTAATACTTCCCCTATCGCATCTGGTCACAGAAAATATGGAGGTAGTGCCAGTCCAATATCGCGAAATAAATATAAGTCTTGGGAAAGCTCTTGCAACAGTTCTGGCCACGATTACCCAGAATATTTAATACAATTTCCACCATCGACCTTAGATACTGGTTTAGTAGATGTAATGGAATTAAACAGTAACCAAACAAAAAGTTCAGAAAAATCAAATTTATCTCCAAACAGTTATTCAAATTATAACATTGACAAATTATCGTACGATGATGTATCCACTAGAGAAAACACTACAGATAAAAGTAGTCTTTTAGATACATTTAAATCCGAGATGACTTCCAATAAACAAAATGAATTAAAAAAATCACAAAAAGGACAAATATATTATGATTCTCACAACAACCGTGATGAAATATCCTGTTGCCGTGACGTACCAGAACATGCTGTTTTAGCAAGTTCTCAATTTTACAAGTTAGAAATGAAACACAAATCAAATTATCAGAAGAATCAAAATATCAAATCTATTACAAACAAGGATGACTTACAAGACTCTACATATTTTATAGATAGCAGATGTTCATTAAAAAATGATAGAAAGAAGACAAAAGATTTTAATTTGGTCAATAATCTTAATAATTTTTATCGGGCTCGAAAAGTCTTTGATTCTAAAATAGTGCAGAAAAAAACCGCCAGCGTTGTATTACCTGTGCATAGAGAATTACATAACAATAATAATAAAATTTGGTACCCGAAATGTATACCGCGTCCATCTCTAATTAATTATAATACTGAAATTATAAACGCAGCTGATTTTAAAAGAGTACGCAAAACTCTTAAGGAAGCTAAAGAGTTTTCTTTGGAGTTGATGAGGCTGCTAATCATGTATGAAAATGCAAACAAAGAATTTGAAAGTATTTCTGACAAGCTGAAACTATCCCACGCATGTCTGATTAGTGGCGATTTTGAAGTTAGGAGAGAGGAAAACAGTGATAAAAATAATGTTATGAAGAGAAAACAAGATCAAGAAAAGTCCTATAACTTAATAGAAAATGCGTTACATGGTAGACGCTCGGAACCAAAATCAGCTGAACTGAATACAGATTTACAAATAACCACCATATGTAACAAGAATATTTCAAATTTGGAAAAAGTTAAAAGAGAAGATAATTGGTCCGAAGATATTGCTCAAACACGAAAACTAAATCTATTAGAAGAAATTGAGTTTAATTTAAATAGAAATGAACAATCTCATACTGACATGGCAAAAGCAAAAACCAGTGATCAAATTGAAGCTGCAGAAAACATAGAGGCGGAAAAAGACATCACAAACGTCTCCAATCGAATAGCCGAGAACAACGAAGACATAAGACAAAAAGAGCAAATAAATAAGAAAAATTATACAAAATACAAGAAGCCGAGACGAAAAGTAATCATATCAAAAAAGATTAGTGTGCGAAACTCGAATGAAATGAAAACCAAATCATATGTAAAGCAGCGTGTAACTTTTGGAACATCAACCACTGAGCTGTCTGATAGCACTTCAAAGAGTATAAACGAGCCCCATACGAAGCTATCGGTTAATTTTTCTGAAAAAGTGGATCAACAAAAATGTAATGCAGAAGAACATTACAATAATTTGAAGCAGATAATGAGAAAAATAGACACCGTTTTTGCAGGTATCGAAGAGAATCCTATAACAACTTCTACTGAAACTAATGAGTTTCATAACCACTTGGATAGCTACGCGTCCAATAACACTGTCAAACATGTGAGTACACTGAGTTTAATGGTTTAATTATACATTAATTTGTAGATAAAAGTTTCTTAATCACTTTTCTATTAACCGCTAGGAAATTAAAGATACAAGCCCTTGGCCAATTTTACGCAAAAACTTCAGTTGGAGTGCTAGACCTCAAACAAAGAGTAACGTTTCCAATTTTCCATCGTTGGACCTTCAAATAAAGCAAAGAGTGCAGTCAATATCACAACAGACTGCTACACCCAGGAAGAGACGACACGAAAATAAAGCTTTAGTGAGTTAATTTATTGTTTTATAGTCAATGTTAAATTTATTAGTTATGTTTTTTTCGTACTATATCTACGTTAGAAGTACGACAAAGAATTTGTAAAAGTCGTAGTGCAGTTAATTTTTCTTGTATTTATTAGAAACCAAAGAACAACCCAAATGTGAGGTAATTACATAACATCACGCGTTTTATCCCGAAGGGTTAGTCAGATGTGAACATTACGGCACTTAATGCCACTGTACAATGTAACACCCACTTTTCACTATTTATGTCATGAGTCCCATGTAATAGAGGTGAGCCTATTGCCATATACCGGGCACAGTTTCAAACTCCGTGCTATTACTGAGATTTTTTTAAGACCAGTAGTACCTACTTTGCTCGACCTGGGAATCGATCTCGAGACCCCTAGTCCGGCAGTCGCACTTGCGACCACTCGGACAACGAGGCAGTTAGTGCTTTAAATATAACAAAGTAGGTATAATAATAAAATTGCACAACATTAGAAAACTACTGGTAACTTCAAAACAACACTGAAGGTCCGGCCAACATTAGAATGTAAATTAATACAGTGATTAAAGATTCGTTTTTAACTTCTAAAACAACTTTAGGCCAGTCTACATGTTGAAGTGCAGAAACTCTTGGATATGCCAATATTACAATCGCAACATTGTAACAAATATCCTGTCGAATATCCGAAAGAAATCTTGAAGACTCAGCCTAAGGTTACTCACATGTCCTACCTAGCTACACTTGCTATACTTACCTAGTTATAAATCAGTTGGTAGTACTTGGGTTTCAATTCTGTTGTAAAACATGTTCCTGCTCGATTCATTTGCCTACTTAGGTAATACATTACAGTTCTTTTATATCCCAGAACAAGGAAAGCACTTTACAGAATAGAATCTACTGCGTACTTCTATATTAGTAGGCATTTCGGTTAGATTAGACTAGAATTCCTAAACACCAGCTTTATCTTACTACGACAGATGCACTGTTGAGATTTTGAAGCAAGCACGCAGCGCGCATCACACAGAACGCAGAACAATTAACCAAAGGCCTTGTGAAAAATAACGGAATGATCTTCAGGCGGACTCGGGATTCTTGACAATTTTTCTATAAGATCCTTCTGCAGAAAATCCAACGGGGACTATCTGGTTGAAAATTATACGTCTTCCGTCTGATGCGCCGGCGGTGTTTAGTGTAATACTCTCGGGATACAAAGAACACAAAATCTACTTACAATCGCTGTGTACTCTGATTTAGATGTAGACGCAATTGAAATAAAACAATAGTATCAATCCAAAATCCCTGTTTTCTTCGCACCCGTACAGTTGTAATAAAGTAGCCATATTGTAGAAATTCTTTCAGACAATAACTGAATCAAAGTTTGAAGAAATGCCAGAGTCGTCATACAGGCGTAAGGTGGATAAAGAAGCGCGTGGCAGTTACGCGGTATGTTAATTGATTTTTTATCGAATGAATCCACCCATTTATGAAACCACCGGGAAATATTTGGTTCGTCTATAACAGCACAAATAAATATGTACAGAAATATCTACACTAATCCAGTAAATGATAGTTTCAGATAACACATCCCATATCCCATTTAATCACGGCACAGCATCTGTTTTCTTCAAAACGGCAACGCACTTATAACAAGTTTTACCGGTAACCTTCAGACTGCCTAAGCTATGTTTGTTTGACACCGGCAAATAAACGATAAATACATATGTCGACATTATGCACCAAAAATGTCGCGGAGAACCTAACGGGTTACCGGGGCTCCGGCTCGACGTGCAGGAGAAGGAACGGGGTGGTTTTTAGTCAGTAAGAGTCTGACACTTCCTCCCGCCTTACCCAGGCTGGAGCAGTCGTTCGATGATTTTCCCCCCTTAAAAAAATGCACCAAAAATAATATAATTATAATAAGTATCTACCGCAGTACCCACGGCCGATGTTGCCATAACGTTATTAGTTAAAATTGAAAATCATTTTTCAGGGAACAATGAAATCAAAATTCGACGAAACTTCAGGATCGTTGGGATCATGCTGGAGTATGGTGGATGAAGGAGAGGGTTGCAGTGTCGAGGTATGGTAGGCAAATAATAGAATAACCCTGAAAAATACTAAATAGATTTTAATATAGAGAGGCACGCCCATTTTTTTATGGAATTTGAGGCAAAGGAGCAGACGGATAACCTGATGGTAAGCAATCAGCGCCGCCCATGGTCACATATACCAACCAACACCAGAGGAGTCACAGGTAGGATAGGCACTTACTTCAACAACGTAGCCGCCGAGGATTACTTACCTGATTGAAAATTGCATGATCGACCTTATGTTTATAACGCTGGCAATATTAAGTGCAATAATAGGTAGGTACAGTTTATCTCAAACAAACGACCTCTTCAACAGTTTCAGCTTTGTATACTTATTATTATGTATGTGTGTGGGAGAGCAATGCTTCGGTACGAATAGGCCGGCTCGAGCGGAGTGAAATCACGGCCTCACAGGTGAAACCGACGTGAAACAACGCTTGCGTTGTATTCCGTCGTGTGAGCGAGGTTACCGGAGACCCAATAACCCCCACCCCCTCCCCTTTCCCCAATCTCCTCAATCCCTGAATCCCAAGAATCCTTAAATTCCTAATCCCTTAAAGGCCGGTAACGCACTTGTATTGCCTCTGGTATTCCAGGCGTCCTTCCAGGTGTCCATGGGCGCGGTCGCTTGTTTACCATCAGGTGATCCGTGTGATCGTACTATCTATACAAATGAATGTATGCTTTCAGAATAATATTGAATTGGAGTACGAAGAGAGACCAAAGTTGGTACCGACATACAGTGAAAGAGTGGATAGAGGAGTGTTTTGCAATTTAACAGTAGGTATGTTGCATTTAAAATATTTTTCGGGTACGTTGATAAGTCTTTAAACTCTTTAAAATTCTTTCAGAATAAATTGGCACCGGAATCTAAAGAATCTTTAGTCTTTACATTCGTGTTGGAGTCTTGTGCGTGATGTGGACCAATAATGGGTGACATACCTAAGGTAGTCTAAAGTAATTTTAACACTCACCCAGTTGAACCAGTACTAAAGAAAACTAGTGATGACGACATGAATTTTTGTGCATTTTAAGAGAGTCCACCGACTGTCGGACCACACCGTGCTCGTGAATTAAACCATCCCTCAGTTCCGTGATCAACGTGACAAATGAAGGGATACGAGGTTAAATAACTACTTATAACTAATAAGATCTTATTGCGCTTATTCGAAAACGTGGTGTTAATACCAAAGCCTAAATTCTGGGAAATTTCGAAAATATAAAGTATCATACGGTAAAATGGGGTGAATAGATTGGATACAGAAGAGGGGTGAATAAATGTTGGGAAAATATTCTAACATTTATTCATCCCATTCTTGTATCTATTCAGCCCACGAATTCTATTCACCCCGTTTAACAGAACTTCATTCAGCAGAAGACGAGGAGGATGATGATGAAGATAGTGATAATAATTGAGTGTCATAAATGATTTTTTTTCAACTTCCAGATTATTTACTGGTCGACGGACGGGCTGTAAAAAATCTATGCCCCATTGATAACCATTGCCGTAATCACATGCTTGCCGAATGCGAATATAGACAAACTTTTACTGACAATTCGTACCATCACCATAGATGTCCCAAAGACTGGCCAATCCGGCTAGTACATCTACAGACCTCGAGTAAAGTGACAATAAAATTTTGTCGTTCTATAATGCCTATATTTTATTTGTAGTAACTTTTATATAAGTATATGTATGATATCGTTTAAAAATAAAATATCAATTCTTCGAAGTTATATTCGTCCTTCGGAAAGCTAGCATCGTCATGCTCGTGCCCTGATGCCGAGTACAGAGGCACCCTTACCGACTCGTAGTCACACTAGATTATCACACCAGTATGACAAACAGGATTTTTTTCTCGTTTGTCACACCACTTATTTTTCTACACCATTTATTCTTAACTAGAGCTGTCCTAGAGCTAAATTAAAAATCATCAAATTATCAAGTTTTTATTAAATTGATGCCTTTATTTAATTAAATGTGTAACATAAAGTAATAATAAACTAACTATGTATAGTAATAATATGTACAAACAGGTAGTAAAAAAAAACTCATAGGGCGTCAATTATTATAATTAAGTTTATGGCGAAAAGAGAAATCAATTGGTTTGAAAAGTAAACTACATAAAAGAATCCTCCCCACATCCCTATCTATATCAATGGGAAAGGTGCCCAGAACGCTGGCAGCATTGCCACGTTGGATGGCAATGCTGATTCGTTGACAAATGAAAAGCCCGGCCCTCTGGTCACGCGAAGAGTCGACGTTTACTGATATCTCAAACAACACGATGAGCGCTTGTAATTTCCGATAAGGTTATTATATTTGTGCCGCTGAGGGTTTCTGCACTTGCGGCAGCCGCCCCAGCACAACCTGCCGTAGTCAGAAGATGAGATGGCGAAGGGTATCGACACATGTTGCAAACCTTTAAATTAAATTAACTATCGAGTGTCCTCGAAATCTATCACTTTCGGGCGTCCTCGAAATCTATCGGGCGTCCTCGATCACTTTCGAGCGTTCTCGATCACTTTTGAGCGTCCTCGACCACTTTCGAGCGTCCTCGAAATCTATCGAGCGTCCTCGAAATCTATCGGGCGTCCTCGATCTCTTTCGAGTATCCTCGAAAACTATCGGGCGTCCTCGATCACTTTCGAGCGTCCTCGATCACTTTCGAGCGTCTTCGAAAACTATCGAGCCTCCTCGATCACTTTCGAGCGTCCTCGATCACTTTCGAGCGTCCTCGATCACTTTTGAGCGTCCTCGACCACTTTCGAGTATCCTCGAAATCTATCGGGCATCCTCGATCACTTTTGAGTGTCCTCGAAAACTATCGAGCGTCCTCGAAATCTATCGAGCGTCCTCGGAATCGATCGCGCGGCCTCGATCACTTTCGAGCGTCCTTGATCACTATCGGGCGTCCTCGATCACTTTCGAGTATCCTCGAAAACTATCGGGCGTCCTCGATCACTTTCGAGCGTCCTCAATCACTTTCGAGCGTCTTCGAAAACTATCGAGCGTCCTCGAAATCTATCGAGCGTCCTCGAAATCTATCGAGCGTCCTCGATCACTTTCGAGTATCCTCGAAATCTATCGGGCATCCTCGATCACTTTCGAGCGTCCTCGAAATCTATCGAGCGTCCTCGAAATCTATCGAGCGTCCTCGAAATCTATCGAGCGGGTTCGATCACTTTCGAGTATCCTCGAAATCTATCGGGCATCCTCGATCACTTTTAAGTGTCCTCGAAAACTATCGAGCGTCCTCGAAATCTATCGAGCGTCCTCGAAATCGATCGAGCGGCCTCGATCACTTTCGAGCGTCCTTGATCACTATCGAGCGTCCTCGATCACTTTCGAGCGTCCTCGAAATCTATCGAGCGTCCTCGAAATCTATCGAGTGTCCTCGATCACTTTCGAGCGTCCTCGAAAACTATCGAGCGTCCTCGAAATGTATCGACCGTCCTCGATCACTTTCGAGCGTCCTCGAAATCTATCGACCGTCCTCGATCACTTTCGAGCGTCCTCGAAATCTATCGAGCATCCTCGATCACTTTTGAGCGTCCTCGATCACTTTCGAGTATCCTCTAAAACTATCGAGCGTCCTCGATCACTTTCGAGCGTCCTCGATCACCTTCGAGTATCCTCGAAAACTATCGAGCGTCCTCGATCATTAACTCAAGCATAGCATTTACAACCGGCCAGTACCTACTAGATAAGGTTGCATTATCATATGAACCACTGGACATCCACATAGAGCTTTAGTACCTATTTATTTAGACGGCCTCGTTGGCCAAGTGGTCGCAAGTGCGACGGGCAAGGGGTCTCGGGTTCGAATCCCGGGTCGGGCAAAGGTTACTGGGTTTTTAAAAATCTCAGTAGTAGCACGGAGTCTGGACATGTGCCCGGTATATAGCAATAGGGTCACCCCCTATTACATGGGACTCATAATATAAATAATGAACAAGTAGGTGTTACATTGTATAGTGGCATTAAGTGCCGCAATGGGCACCTCTGCATACCCCTTTGGGATAAAAGGCGTGATGTTATGTTATGTTACCTATTTATTAATTAAAAGTAGAAAATATTAAAAACTCACCAAAGAACGAAAGACGGCAAACGCCGATCGACTTTATTGGAATGTAAAGGTACTGCACTAGTAATTATCGTATACATAGTGTAAAAAAATAAGTGGTGTGACAAACGAGAAAAAAAAATCCTGTTTGTCATACTGGTGTGATAATCTGGTGTGGCTACGAGTCGGTAAGGCAGTGGCAGGCTCTGTTATCGTCACAGTACATATTCTTGGGTTATGCCCGAGCAAAATTTATAACTGATGTGTCAGCCTAGTATTACTTATGTGTAGTATGAGTAAAACGGCGTAAAGCCTAACACAGGCGTAAGGTTGCAAGCCTTTCGGTTTTCTACCGGATGCATTTCGGTAAATGTGCGGGGTATTGGACAACTTGATTCCCCCTAGTCCTTTCCATCATCATATCACAAGACAATCGGCGAAGTGTCAACTATTCATGGTGGATGTCCCAACCACTCACACTCTAGCAAATGGCGTTAGTATCTATCTCTCGTTTTTCATTCAACAGGGACTAATGTCGAAATACTCCAAAGCTAATATAGTGCTTCTAGCTCTTATAGCTATATTTTTAATCTAGACTCGCATGAGTTTTACATATTCAAAGATGACGTCACTGATATGAGGTTATTAATTACGTCTCACGACGTCCTTGGCATAGAGTTTAGTCCTCGGTCACACCATTGCAAGTTCAATATTGAATAATAACTGCAGTTATTGGACAAATTACCTCTTGCTATATTTGCGCAATCTGGTGACCACAAAAGCCAGTCCCCATTTAATTACTCAAAACAAAAATTCACTGAATGTGAATGTAGCCATTACTCAGTAACCTATTCACCACTTGAGACATTTTCTATGCATTTTCTACATCAGCACTTCTAGAAAAACAAAAAATCGTAACTTATAGTTATTCGTGTAACACTCGGGTTATTAAGCCTACTCGAGTTTACTCGAGTCTATTACACGAGTTCACCTCACGAGTTTCCCTCCCAGTCCCAGCACTAAATAATTTGACATTGACAATTTGACTTTGACAACCAATTTTGGAATTTAGCTTGCGTTATGCGCTGGTATTGTTTCTCTATATTATTCGAAATAATTTCTATTTTAAATGAAAAATGGGTAAATTCAAGTATTGTAGGGTGTGTCTTGTGACAGACGTGAAGATGTTCAGTTTAGAAACTTCTTCAAGTGATTCTGTTGGAGTTGTTTACTCACATTTAGTTCAGGTTCCGGTAAGGCTTTTTGCGATATTTTTCAAATTTATTTTGGAGCAATTACAAATGATTTGCAATTCCTCTGTTCATCTTATAGACATAAGTGCTTTACTTGTGTTTATTATTCCAATAGAAGATATCGACAGTGTTTCTTAACTTTACTTAATTTCAAACAATTCGTGTCATTTGTTTCAAACAACGACGTGTATACACATTATAACTAAAAATCTAACCACATTTTGGGTTCTATCGATGTCCCCAATCACCCCAGCTAAATATATTTTTAAATATCTTTAATGCACAGTTTTTCATTTGTACAGGTTTATTACATGTATAGATTGATTGAAGTTTGCTTATATTCTTTACAGATATTTGATAGGGACCAACATGTCTGTTTTGTATGTGCGAGTCTCCTGCACAAGTTTCAGGAATTCAAATCCAAATGTTTAAGAGCTCACAATATTTTATCTAGATTCCAATTTGGCCCTACTCGTGTAAGTATTGATATATTATATATTACTCCATCCATAATCTTTTACCTTCATACAATAGTTAATGTTTGAAACTGTCAAACACTGCAAGGACACTGGTGACCGCAACCTATTGTTCTTTAATCGTGTCTATAATGAAATGAAATGGTACTCAAAGGGTTAATGTTATATGATATGGGTAAAAATAATGTAGTGTTTAGTAGCAGGATTTTGGGCGAAACAGGGTAGATCCTTAACCCCGCATATCAAGGTAACTCGCAAAACAAGGTAACATACTGTTTTTTAGAAAAATTAATAACATGGAAACATTACCTGAAATACTTAGGAAACTACAATAAAATTTGAGGTGGCATTAAGGGTCATAGTTTTAACCTAACCCATCCTAAATGGGGTGGCCCAAGCTGTTTATCACATTCTGAGTTTTGTTGCATTTCACGATTTTACACAAGAGTTTTATGCCACAGAACAATAAATTACAGGAATTTAGTTGTCAATCATCTGCTACAACGATTTCAACAATGTTGATGTTGAACAATGTCCCTTTATAATTTTTTGACTAAAATCATTATCAATGAACATATTTATGCATTACCTACTCTTATTTTTTTTTTTACTTCTTTGGCAACCGAGTCTCCAATATGATGATGTAGACTATACTGCCAGTGTCGGGTGGTACCTTGTATTATGAGTGGTATACTTATCAGTGGGAATGCAAGCACTCCCAATTAGGACCATTTTCATTCCTAAATTGGTGCTATTAAATACTAAATCCAATCCAAAAATATTCACATTGCAGATTACAAAAAAGACTATTAAAAATATTGACAGGAAATTCAACAAATTAGAATCCAATTTGAAAGTAACACATTTATCTGTACAAAATCAAGTGTTCAACGAAGATACAGAAATAGAAACAAAACAAAATGAGGTCGAAGGCACTTACAAATTAGAGGCCAGTGAAAAATTTGACCTAGAAAACGATGAGAAATATGATTATGACGAAAGTTCTAACGATATCAATGCAGACTTCATAGATGTAAATGATGAAACACTAGAAGAAGTAGAGGATGTTACAACTAAAACAAAAAAGAGGCAGTTGAAAACTGATATCAAAAGTGAAGATGACTTTAGTGATAATGAACCGCTATCTAAAAGTGTGACTGAAACGGCTCCCATAATGAAGAGTACGGGAAAACAAATGGACATGAGTGTCTTTGATGACTATGGGACTATAACATACCTTACCCCAGAGGACGCAAAGAAAGAACTGTTGCGTAGAAAAGAAACTAGTAATTACAAACTATGTAAGTTTAAATGTGAGCTGTGCTATAGAGGGTTTGAAGTTAAAACCGCTTTCGATAATCATACTAAGAGCCATAGTCCTGTGAGTATTTTAAGTTCTTTTTACTGCTATTGATTATTGATTGAGAAATAGAAAATAGTTAAATGCTGAATAGGTATTCTTTACCGGAGTACAGAGGCATGAATGTAATGTAAGCTAAACAAAGAGGATTTTAGGTGGTCCATAGGTTTCTACCTAGCTATGGAGTGTCATAGTTAATTAGGTACTAAGTGTGAGTTCATATATGTGAGTTGTTATTTTGTTTACTGGCTCAAGAGGCTTAAGTTACATACATAACATCACACCTTTTATCCCCTAAAGGGTAGACAGAGGTGCACATTTCGGCACTTAATGCCACTGTACAATACATACATACATACATAATTTCACGCCTGTCTCCCATGAGGGTAGGTAGAGACTATGGAATGCCAATTACTACGATTCCTATATACCTCTATCACTTCATCAACAGTCATCAATCTTTTCATGCATGCTCATCGGTTAAGGGTACTTTAAATTTGGCCCTTCTTTAATATACCGCCAATCTGGTCACTATATATATCCGTCTAGGGCGCCCTCTACCGACGGCCCTGTTCATATCCGCTCTGTATACTTCTTTCGTTACTCTTCTATCATCCACCCTTTCTACATTCTACTGTATGGTACAATATGACACCCAAATTTCACTGTTTACGTTATGAGTCCCATGTAATAAGGGGTGAACCTATTGCCAGTCATAAGTGGTTCTTAACTAACTGTTTATCATGTTAATAAAACAATATTTAATATTTTTTGCAGGAAAATGGAGACTATGAATGTGATATCTGCCACCTCTGGTTTCCACTACAAGCGTCACTGTGTAAACACAGAATAACCCACAAGAGGAAGTTTACCTGCAAAGTGTGCCCTTATGTTTGTTATGATATGTAAGTAGACATAATCACTAGGTAGTATGTGTATCGTGTTTCAATCCCTTACTTCGCTTGCGTTCTCAAAGGTCTACCTACCTCTTTTCACTAAAAATGTCGCGCAGCCTACTCTACCGCCGCGACCGCGCACGCTGCTCATGAGGAAGAACCCCTCTGTGGTTCGAAACTAGTAGAGCTTTTCTCAGTATATTCACGTGAGTAACTCGCGATTTTTAGTTAACTTAGTATGTCTCACGATAGTTACAATAAAAACACCTATAAGCTCACTGCTGAGCAAAGCCTCTTCTCACACGGTTTTCCGTGTAAACCTTTTGGTTTGAGCATTAATCATCACGCTTACTCAATGCGGGTTGGTGATTTCAAACTTATAATTAGTAAGCCTTATAAGCCTAGGTTGCATCTCGATGTTTTCCTTCACCGTTTGTCAGTGGTGTCTGAATAATCTTAGAAAGTACATATAACTCGGACAAAGTCACATTGGTACTTGCCCACCTCTTCATAAATTCATCCCGGTCCCATAAGCCGTTTTGACGTGGTTGAATAACAAACAAATACACTAGCAAATTTTTACATTTACAATAGTGATTCTAGCAAATATCGACCATCGGTCCTACAGTTACAGTGTAATGTCCATTGCGGGTAACCTAACATTCGACAAACTTATATTTGCGAGCCGCACAATTGATTTAAACTATATAGTTTTTCGGGAAAAAAGTACCCAGTGTGATGCCCAGGATATTAAATAATGTTAACTTTTTAATGAGGGATGACTGAGAGTGTTAAAATTTTGGTTACAAATATCATCCTACTCTTATTGTTCCATTTCCCCCCTTAAAAAAAAAAAAAACTCTTATTGTTCCAGGAGCCAAGCAAAGACCCATGTGAGCTTGCACCGAGGAAAAAAGTATCCGTGTAAACACTGTGGAGAAATATTCAGGTCAGTGGAATTGTGTTTTCGTGTAAACTAAAATCAGGAAATCAATTTATGTTGTATTGGGTTAATTGGGTTAGATCGGCATAATTTTTTTTTACTCCGTATTTTGTTATCTGTGGCTAAAAACTGTCGTGTGTAAAATGTTACTCAATAAAATATTATTTTTCCGCATTCTAAACAGTTAAATTTAATCAAATCGTCACTTATAATGTTAAATTATATTTCCAGCATGCCGAACACTCTAATTATGCACACACGATTAAAACATTTGAAGGAGAGTACAGTTCGCGAGAGTGTTTGTCAACTCTGTGGTGACGTATTTGGGGCACCGAAAGGACTATACTTACATCAGTTGAAGGTGCATAAACAGGTGCGATATCAACAGACGATATTACGATAACATCAATTGTTTTTGTACCATTTGTGTGTAAAGGAGGCCATATACGCTAGGTTTTGCATGATGGTTTTAGCTGTGCATGCATAACTGACAGGCAAGTCCTAGCATGTATGTGATTAAACTGTACAGTTATCGGTGCATGTACATGCAACCGAGCAAATATCAAAATTAATATTTTATGCCACTCGGTTAGGGGGCGTCCATAAATAACGTAAGATGTTTAAGGGGGAGGGGGTAGACTCAAATCTCATCTAATCTTACTTTGGAGAGAGGGGGTCTCGGCAAACATCACGTAATATTTTCTGATAGAAACAAAAACAAAATGTACTATTTTTACCGACTTCATAGTTCATTTATTCCAGATTGTACATGCTTAAGATTAAATTGTACATGCACATGGATTTTTTTTCTTCTTTTTGCAATAACAGTCCAACGCGTTTACGTGAAAGACCAACATTTTAAAAAATCTCACGTGAGATGTGATGTGATCACATTGGGGATGGGGGAGTGTGTTGAATGAAATCTCACCAAGGGGGGAGGGAGGGACAGACAATTAATAAAAACACCTCACGTAATTTATGGACGCCCCCTTATGTTTGCGCGCGAGCATAACCGAACGTGTGTGGCATCCAGCGAGCTTGCCTGCCACAGTTCTCAGTTTTTTTATTTTCTCAGTAGTTTGGTATTGGCGTCCTACACCTACCGTCACTTACTACGTAGCTCACTCAACTGAGAGTTCGTGGCAAGATGGTGTATGCAAAACCTAACGTGTCTGTGTGGTATAAAACTCGGTTATGTTTGTCGGTTTTGTATGCAAAGTAAGCATCATTTGCATGCAATGTAACCACCATTATAATAACCATTATGCATAACCTAGCGTGTATGGCCTTCTTGATACAATACTAAAAATACTTCGGTATTTTATTTAATGAAATAATCCTGAGCGTTCTTGGAACATTCGATTTATTGACCGATAGATTGTCTACTAATGTGCACTTAACTTACCTTTAACTACTGACGTGGTTGTCTCATAGACGGCGTGTTCACGAATATAAGAATTTCCCAAAAAGACGTCCAAATAATTGTACCTATTTTAGCTAAGATTGTAACATATATTTTTTTAAGTTATGGCGAAATATTTATATTTTAAGTTTATAGAATTTGAATAAAAAACCGTTGATTTCATAGAATTATAATGGACCGATCATAATACAAGTAAATATTGTGCAAATCAGTAAATAAAATTTATTCCATTTCGATTTATTTATTAAGTTGTTTGACATACGTCACGTCACCATTTATGGTATGAGTAAACCACGTCAGGATTTGAAGGTTAATGATACACTCGCGCCAATGGATGAGCGCAAAAATAATAACATTAATGGAAAACATTAAACATTGCTGATGTGAAGAAAAACTTCATATCGGTCAAAATTGCACATTGATTGGAATACTTTTATGTTGTAGGTTGAAAACGACGAATTGGGACCTAAATGCAAAGACTGTAATGCGCATTTTGCTTCAGAACTGGCGTGGAAACGACATCTAGTGCTTTCTTCTAAGCATAAAGTCAGGTAATAGAGAGTTTAGTTAGTAACTTCACAAGTAGTTATTTATTTTGACCAAATTAATATAACTAGCTAAATAAAGAATGAATTGGGTAAGTATTTATTCGAAGTTTAGTTCTAATAATTTGATTCATGTTTATGATAACATAACGCCTTTTATCCTCAAAGGGGTAGGCAGAGGTGCATATTATACCACTGTACGATGTTACATCCACTTTCATATACCGGGCACAGTTCCAGGCTCCGTGTTACTACTCAGAATTTTTAAAAAACCCATTAATACTTTGCCCGATCCGGGAATCGAACCCGAGACCCCCTTGCCCGGCAGCCGCAATTGCGACCACTCGGCCAACGAGGCAGTCATTAATTATCTATGTATACATTCCAGTAAATCAGGCTCCCAAGGAGTAAAACTTCAATAGATCGACTTATAACAAAACAATACTTTTTAACATACCTATATTATTTAATTTTAATCGTAGTAATTGGCGTTCCATAGTCTCTGCCTACGTCCATGGAAGACAGGCGTGAAGTTATCTTTGTATGTATGTACTTTTTAATATTCCAGTAATGGCTGTAAAATCTGTGGCGATACATTCTCGAATTCGGAAGGTCTCAAAGCTCACATGACGGTGCATAATCGAACACACCTACAGAACTACAGAACGTATGTGAAGAAATGGCCCGGAGAATGTCCTATTGTGAGTATTCGACTGAATTCTTAAATATCCTCCACATGACTCATATCTATTTATATAAAACGTGAACTGACTGACTGACTGACTAATTAATTAACTCTCTGACTGACTGACTGACTGACTGACTAACTGACTGGCTGACTGACTGACTGACTGGCTGACTGACTGACTGGCTGACTGACTGACTGACTGACTGACTGACTGACTGACTGACTGACTGGCTGGCTGACTGACTGACTGACTGGCTGGCTGACTGAGTGACTGACCGACAGTCAGTCAGTCACTTCCTGTGTTAGTACACAGGAGGTGAAAGAAAACTGGGCTTGAAAGGGCATTGACTAAAATTGGTGCCTTTCTTTTTTCTGGCGGCAGTCGATGATTTATGGAAAATATTATCTAGAATGACATTACAAACGAAATTGTCTATGGGCTTATATATGGAAATCTCAGTCTGGACTGAGTTATGAGCGTTGAAAGGAGCTGGAGTCAAACATTTTACTTTGGATTTTTTATTCAAATTATTCATATTTTTGTCACAATGCCTAACTTCAAATTGCGCGCCATTGTACGCCGGACACAGGAACACCATATCACACCACAATATATCCATATTGCACGGCACTAATTTTTATTAGCTATTTTCTCTCAGTCGATAACTTGTGGGATGCTTCTAGGAGTTGTATCAGGAAGCTTCATGAGCGTCAGCTGTCGTAACAGTGGTGGGTTGGGTAGTGGTACCCGTCCAAACATCTAATAAAGTTTTATTTTTTTTGCCGTTGACTCTTGGTGGGAGACTCATCTACTTTACCTCGTGTGTTCATAAGTTTTGAGACAAACTTTTTGCTTATAAAAATAAAATAAAAATTATTGGCTGCTGTATATTTCTTTTTCTAATTTTGAATTTGGAATGTTAACTTTTAATATCTATGATTTCGGATTATTTTATTTAAATTTTAAATTGAAATTAAAGAATTACGTGCGACCGTCATTTCATTATTTAAGGTGGGAAGAAAACCTATGGACATTTTCCGAGAACTGAAAAGATTTGGTGTGAGCCGTAACTTCGTGTATTACACTATTAAACGATATCAGGAGACAAGTTCTTTACATGATCGGCAAAGAAGTGGTCGTCCACGCTCTGTGAGGACGCCTGCGATCATTAAAATCATCCGAGAGTGACTTCGCCGAAATCCATGTCGCACTCAGAAGAAACTCGCTCTGCAGACCAATATTTCGCGCGTTTCAGTCAACAGAATACTGAAATATGATCTCAAGGTTAAGGCGTATAGCCGTAGAAAAGTACACTTTTTAAACGATCGCCTTCGTCAATTGCGACGCGAACGTTGTCCAATACTGCTTAGGAGACACGATGCGAGGAAGATACTCTTCACCGACGAGAAAATCTTTACCGTCGAAGAAAAGTTCAATCGACAAAACAATAAAGTGTATGCCAAAAGTAGCAAGGATGTCCCACCTTCAGCACGGAATGTCTCGCGTACTCATCATCCGGCTAGTGTCATGGTATGGTGGGGAGTTTCGTACGAAGGTGTCACTCAGCTTCATTTCTGCCAACAAGGCGTCAAGGTGAAAGCCAAAAATTATCAAAGTGACATTCTAGAGACTGTTGTGAAACCCCTGTCTAATACCCTATTCCATAACAAGTATTGGGTTTTCCAGCAAGACTCGGCGCCATCCCATAAGGCTAAAATCACCCAAGCTTGGCTGAAGGAAAATGTGCCAGCCTTCATTGCGGCGAACGAATGGCCCTCCTCCAGCCCCGACCTCAACCCGCTGGATTATTCTCTATGGACCGAATTAGAGCTCAGAGCCTGCCGAAAGTCCCACCCAAACTTGGAGTCACTTAAGCGAGCTCTTGTCCGAGAAGCGAAGCGAATTCCTCTGGAAAAGATTCGTGCCGCCATTGATGACTGGCCAAATCGTCTAAGGGCATGTATTAAAAACAGGGGTGGTCGTTTTGAATAATAATTATATTTAATTTTTACTTACTATCTACTTAATGTTTGTTATTGTTTTTATAAATATAAGTTTATTATTTAAAAAGATATGCAACTTTTAATTTGTCTCAAAACTTATGAACACACGAGGTATAGTTAGCATAATCTTTTGAAGAAAGGAAACCGTCGACTTTGTAAAGTGATGGACTATACGTCAGATGAGCGCATAATTTTTTCATGTAATGTGATAAGTCGTAATATAATCCATCATTTTGTGACTGAATGACGATATCTTTGTACAGAATCTTATGCTAGCTGTCGATTAAAGTATTAACTGTAGTTAGATTAGTTACTAATCCGGAGTAAGTCGGAAGAAGTAGATAGAAAAATGTTTTTTTGAGTTTTGACGACTGCCGCTACTCAATCCGCTACCGACGCTGCAGCTGACAAAGCTGACTAGCATTTCATGATAGGGCTCAGTAAAGTATTTTGCGAGTTTTCGACTGAGAGGAAATTGATCATGAAAATCTGTCGTAGGCCATAAACCGTATAGTTACATATAAAGTGAACACACTAGCCAATCAATCGAAATGTTCTTTTTACTTCAGCAGTAGCCAGTTAATGGTTTACTCGGTTCTGATTCCGTGGCCATATAACAAAAAAAATCCAAAAAATATTAAGTAAAAAAGTTCACAATAAGCTTTATTATATTCCTTAAAATCGTTTATATAAACATTTGTTATAAAATATGTCTGACAAGTAAATGAAGAAATATACGTTGTGTACGGTCGGTTATCAACAAAATAACAGGAATAATATGGCACTATTTTCACATCTTTGAACTGATTTATCTCGGTTTGGACTGTGTTTTTTATATAAGACCCCATATATTTTTTTGTTTGTTATGTTATTCTGCATCAGTTTTTCCACATCCGATCAAGTGCCGCGAAAAAACAAAAAGGCACCACGCTCCATACAAATTTGGTCATTGTCATTTCTAATTATAAGTTTGAAATCGCCAACCTGCTTTGAGCAAACATGGTGGTTAATGCTTAACCCTTCTCCGTGTTAAAAGAAGCCTTTGGTTAGCAGTGAGCACTTATAAGCTTACGATTTGATATGAAAATTCCTTAACAATACTTTACTTTTAATACTTACATTGGAATTGAACCAGAGATCCCCCATTCGATGAACGAAGTAGTCATATTTTGGGCAACAATTTGAGTCTTAGATAAATGTTTTTCTTTTATGGCATACATAAGCCGGTAAACGAGCAGACGGATCACCTGTTGGTAAGCAATCGACGTCGCCCATGGACACCTGGAACACCAGAGGCGTTACAAGTGCGTCACCGGGTTTTTGGGGATTAGGAGTTTGAGGATCGTTGGGGATTCAGGGATTGGGGAGATTGGGGAAGGGGAAGGTAAATGGGCCTCCGGTAACCGGTAACCTCACTCACACGACGAAACACATATTTAAATAATAAATATTTAAGCCTCAAGTTATATTAAGGGACAAGCCCGCCACAACCTTCCAAAACCGCTGCAACTCCTGTAAGCCAGGATCTACAGTATATAAAACCATGAAAACACCGGAACATGGAAGTCCGGCGCGTCCCAGGGACATGAGTAACTGTCTTGGTTCCCGCAACGAAGTGAATCAGAAGATATTATAAGAGTAGAAGAAGAAAAAACTATAGTTGTATTAATGAACTTATTAACTACAATGATTGCAGTGTGACAAATGGCTAGCGACCCGTGCGGAGTACGAGACCCACGTGATGACAGACCACCCTGACACTGAGGAGGCCAACAAGATCACTATTGAAAAAGAAACATCATTTGTGTGTGAATTGTGTGGGCAGATATTTAAGGTATTCATATTCTATCTATACAGATTAATAAAATAGAAGTATTTTTTTACTGCCTTGTTGGCCGAGTGGTCGCAAGTGCGACTGCCGGGCAAGGGGTCTCGGGTTCGATTCCCGGGTCGGGCAAAGTATTACTGGGTTTTAAAAAAATATCAGTAGTAGCACGGAGTCTGAAATTGTGCCCGGTATATGGCAATAGGCTCACCCCCTATTACATGGGACTCATAACATAAATAGTGAAAAGTGGGTGTTACATTGTACAGTGGCATAATGTGCACCTCTGCCTACCCCTTCGGGGATAAAAGGCGTGATGTTATTTTATGCGAACTACACTTAGACGGTTAGACGCTACTTAAAATTGTATAGCGTTTGAGTATTTCAACATAAGTGTTATATAATTTCCATACCCTAATTAATTGTTTACCTACTTTTTCTAATACAGAAACAATGCTTCCTAAAGTACCACCTACATAAACACACGGGCGAGCGTCCGTACAAGTGCGTGGACTGTGACAAAACGTTCCAGACGGCGAGCGGACTCACCATACACCGCAGTTCACATAAACCGAAAACCTTGAAGTGTCACTTGTGCGCCCGTAGATTTTCATTAAAGAGCGCTCTCGCTAAGCATATGAAGGTATTGTGGAATGTTTTCAATTTTTTTTTTTGAACGTTGTCCTTCACTAGTATTTTGTCCTGTGTCGTGGGTGCGTTTACAAACATATAATTTCACATACACGTGACACCCAGACCCGAAACAACAATCTATGCATCACATAAATGAGTTGTTCTATCCGGGAATCGAACCCGCGACACAGTTGCCTAGCCACTGAGCCAACCCTGCAGTCAAAGTATAGTGATGTAACGAATATTCGACTTTGGATCTGAGGGCCAAGTACGAACAACTATCGCATTCGTATCGTAACAGTATCGAGCGAGTTAAGCGTTCTGATTGGTTGGTTCACTTAAGCCGGCCAATCAGAGCGCCGAATGCACTCTTACGAATGCGATAGTTATTCGTGCTTGGCACTCAGGAGACCCTTATAATGGCGAGTTGGCGCCAAAATAACCATGTTTTTTATAAGTATATTAATAATCTATAATTTTGCCTAACTTATTTAAATTTTCACCAGTACGCACACCTCGGCGTCCGTCCCTACAAGTGCACGATCTGCGACAAACTATTTGTTTACTTGTGTGATTTGAAACAACACAACAAATACGTACACGACAAAGTACCGTGGCCTAAGAAGAAACCCAAGAGGAAGACTGTTGATGAAGCGACTTATATGGACTAATAGAATACAGAAGACACTGATCGTCTAATGCCGAACAATGAACATGCCTCCCTCATGCCGGAATACTAAAACGTTACTCAATTTTAAGTCGTGCTCAAATATCGTGCCATCTCTATCATTTTACAAAGAATTTGTAGAGATAGAACTATACTTAAGCACGACTTAAAATTGAGTAGCGTTTCAGTATTCCGACATCAGTCTACCAGGGCACACTCTCCATGGTGAGTACCTGGAGAGAGTACCTCTAAGGATATCGTTGGTTCAGATAATAATAATAATATTAGTTAGTTGAATACTTTGGATTACTCCCGTTACTGGTGAGCTACAGCTTTTTATATTACTAAATGTTTTTTTCTACAATCAAATATTTAAAAATATATTAATCAAGTATAGAAAATAGTAATGAAATAATGAGATCTTTATAGTACTTTAATAACTGCTTTTTGGCACGATGTAGGCGATGTGAAACTAGTTTTTCTCTCTTTGGGTCCTATGCTCATCAAGGTCGTATTGAGGGTAATCCAGTGATAATGATGTGTGTGCTTTCTTAGCATTATAATAAGACTTTGAGGACTTTAATTGATAAGTTATTAGTAAAGAGTAATAGCAATAATGTTTATTATATTTGTGTGATAATGTAAATTATATAAACGGCTTGTGTAAGTATTTTACTACGTAAATCAAATATAGTTTTACAAAAATCGTTTGTTTTTTATTAAAATTCCCGGTTTAATAATATTATTATCATCCTAAAATGTGGATGCATGAACCAGTATTTTTACTACTCTGGTTTTGGTATTTGTGTTGCCTACACATGACTTCAATGTGTGTTAGGACATTGGTTTTTAGCCTGTGATGATACTTCGATCTCAATACACTGTGGCATCTCCATTTTCAAGAACTGGGTCTGGCAGATACTTTAGGGTAGTTTCCTAAATTTTATTTTAATGTCTGTCTGGTAGGTACATTAATTTAAACTGTCAAACACCGCGAGGACACCAGTAACCGCAACTTATTGTTCTTTAACCTTTTGAGCGCCAGGGTCACAAATACGTGACAAGCGAAAACTGTCCCTGAGCGCCAACGACACAAATATGTGACAAAAACAGCGGTACATTAAAACACGAAATAAACTATTTAAACATTACTTTAATGCCTATTTATTTATATACCTGTAAAATAGAAGGTCCAAAATTTATTAATTTCCATAAAACTAATTAAATTGCATTATAAATATTGAGAAATTTTACGTTAAAAAGAAAGAAATAAACTCTGAAAAAAGAATGTCCTCACACGCCAGAGTCATAACTGCGTGACCGCTAGTGATGTAGCGCATGTTGGATAATATCATTATTTCAAATCAAAGATCGATTCGAAACTTTCCTCTGGAATATATTATTTTAGTTATAATTTGGTACTAGGATAAAGCAGCATTAATTTTATAAAACCAGTCTTAAAAATCATTCAATAAGCTACATAGTCAAAAATAAAATTTGGTTGGGTCGAATTTCGATATTCACTAATCCCAACTCAAGCGCATCCCTAACGCAACCCGAATTATCAGTACCCTGTACGCCATGGTCACGACTAGACGACAATATCGTGACGTCACAAGCGCGGCGACCAGAAATTAGTGAAGTGAATGAATAATATTTATGATTAATTTACTTGTGATATCGAGTTCAAGATTTATATTAAGTGACTATTATAATGAGTGGGAATTTAATGACTACGGAAGAACTTCTTCGCATATTAGAAGGATTTTATTAGATTTTATTTACATATGGTGAGCCATACATCTAATAGTGAGCTATTAGATGATAAGATAATACAATGCAGATTTTGTATAATTTTGTTCTATTATTCAAAAGATTTATAAGTATAAGACTGATTGGTAGTTGTGATAATTATATATAATCGTTAATTGTTTTAATTTGTTACTTTTTATGCCAGGTTTATAGAACTTAATATTTAAAAACATGTATACATAGTACATACTGTATAACATTTTATTAAAATTTTCTATTTTTTCATAGTTTTTATTTACCTTCTTAACCTATTTCAATCATATATTTTTAAGTACCTGTTACATTCGGAATTATAAATCTGATTTAAAAAACGTGTTTCATTTATTATAAAATAATATTGTACTAGAACATCGATAAACGAGATATTACGTTGCCACGTCCTTATTTCGGAAGCGAAGTAGTTATTAAAATGGCGGGCCGTCCACGCCATGGTCACAATATGAAGACAGCAGATAAAGAATAGTGTTGTACCTACAGTTATTATATTTAAATATATTGTAGTCTCATATCTGTTATTACGATATTATACAAGTCTGTAAATAGTGTATAACTATTACTTTAATAGGAAGAAATGTAATGTTGAATTAAATTTCAATGTTATAAGGACATTATATTTCGAAATTAAAGACGAAAATGAAAATAAAATTGATTATCGATGAAGTTTTGGAATCCCTATTTTTTTCGTAGGTATTTGCGGTGAATTTGTGGCCTGGCGTTGAGGGCAAGTTCATGCGTTTTTGCTCTGGCGTTCAAAAGGTTAATGATGAATATAACTGAGGGCCAAGCACGAATAACTATCGTAACAGTATCGAGCGAGTTAACGCATTCACTGCCCAGTGGATTTTCTCCAGTGCCCGAATTATAAGACATCCTACAGTGCCCCGCACGCACTATTGCGTTCAATGTTTGCCCTTTTCGTGTGCCGGAAACTCATATACGCGTTCTTACGGCTCCCACCGTGTGCCCGAAACTCATATATGCGTCCGTTCGAGTCTCGGCGAGTGCCCGTGACGCGTCTGTGCGTTTGTTATATACTTACGAAAATACGATAGAATATTATGTATCTGTAGATAAAAGTTAGGGTCATGACACACTGTAATGGAATTTATAATTCATAAGATTATTTATTTTATGTAGTGAAATTGAAAAATTTATCTAAATATAAACTAAGGATGAACGTAATAATTCTATAATTGGTAAGTAGGTTTATATTTAGAACATTGTTGTATTTTAACCGACTTAAAAAAATGAGGTTCTCAGTTTGACCTGTATGTTTGTTGGTACGCGATTATCTCGCGATTGGTTGAACCGATTTTGATGCGGTTTTCAGAAAAACTTCTGTTACTTTTAGGGGATGGGTTTAGTATGCTAATTAACCTACTTCAAAAACAGGAGGTTGATGTTGGATTTTTAAACGTATGTCACGACGCGATGCCAGTATATATAAATTATAGTCTTTCATTATAGATATTTAGTAAGGTACTTATTATCTCGTATAGGTTTATCCTAAAACATTTCGATAGTTGGGTATAGCGCCTGGTGGATATGGTATTTAAAATCTTCAAAGGCACCGCCGTGCATTGTATTGCCGTTATCAGCAAACTAATGTGATTCTATTGTGCGTATGTAGATAAGAGTCATATGAAATATTAGGTTTCTTGGAAAAACAATTAGGTATCTAGGTAGATTTTGGCTTTAGCTCTCGTGGTATTTAACCTTTTGAGCGCCAGGGTCACAAATATGTGACAAGTGAAAACTGTCCCTGAGCGCCAACGACACAAATATGTGACAAAAACAGCGGTACATTAAAACACGAAATAAACTATTTAAACATTACTTTAATGCCTATTTATTGATATACCTGTAAAATAGAAGGTCCAAAATTTATTAATTTCCATAAAACTAATTAAATTGCATTATAAATATTGAGAAATTTTACGTTAAAAAGAAAGAAATAAACTCTGAAAAAAGAATGTCCTCACACGCCAGAGTCATAACTGCGTGACCGCTAGTGATGTAGCGCATGTTGGATAATATCATTATTTCAAATCAAAGATCGATTCGAAACTTTCCTCTGGAATATATTATTTTAGGTATAATTTGGTACTAGGATAAAGCAGCATTAATTTTATAAAACCAGTCTTAAAAATCATTCAATAAGCTACATAGTCAAAAATAAAATTTGGTTGGGTCGAATTTCGATATTCACTAATCCCAACTCAAGCGCATCCCTAACGCAACCCGAATTATCAGTACCCTGTACGCCATGGTCACGACTAGACGACAATATCGTGACGTCACAAGCGCGGCGACCAGAAATTAGTGAAGTGAATGAATAATATTTATGATTAATTTACTTGTGATATCGAGTTCAAGATTTATATTAAGTGACTATTATAATGAGTGGGAATTTAATGACTACGGAAGAACTTCTTTGCATATTAGAAGGAGTCTCAGATGACGAAGAATTTTCGGAAACTATTAGTATAAGACTGATTGGTAACTGTGATAATTATATATAATGGTTAATTGTTTTAATTTGTTACTTTTTTATGCCTGATAACACATGGCTTACTATTCGCTGGGTGCGCGATGACAGCGCCAACTAGCGGTCGGCGGACTCGGCGGACCTTGGTACGTCAAATAGTTGACTGTCATTGTCTTTACGAGGAGTAAGCAGTGAATAAAGCATGAAGGTGTAGGTAAAGATGGAGTACACAGTACACACTTGAAATACCTACTTGAATTTTTATTTCTCTTCTACTGTCTGAGGTCAGTTTGTTTCAATTTCTGTAGTACACTAGAAAAAGAGATCAGACCTCAGTTTGCCTCAGAGAATAGGAGCGAGAGTATTTGACTCGAAACTTTTATTCTAAGTGTGGGCTCCATATTTACCTATAACTTCGTGGAATAAAGTCTGCCAAAAGTTCCTTTTTTAGCCACGGTGCGCGCTGAGATCGATTTCACTGTCCCCACCACCCACTTTGCACCCAGCGAATTAGATGATCAGAATGCAGGTTGCATTGTAGATTTTGTATAATTTTGTTCTATTATTCAAAAGATTTATTAGTATAAGACTGATTGGTAATTGTGATAATTATATATAATCGTTAATTGTTTTAATTTGTTACTTTTTATGCCAGGTTTATAGAACTTAATATTTAAAAACATGTATACATAGTACATACTGTATAACATTTTATTAAAATTTTCTATTTTTTCATAGTTTTTATTTACCTTCTTAACCTATTTCAATCATAATTATATTTTTAAGTACCTGTTACATTCGGAATTATAAATCTGATTTAAAAAACGTGTTTCATTTATTATAAAATAATATTGTACTAGAACATCGATAAACGAGATATTACGTTGCCACATCCTTATTTCGGAAGCGAAGTAGTTATTAAAATGGCGGGCCGTCCACGCCATGGTCACAATATGAAGACAGCAGATCAAGAATAGTGTTGTACCTACAGTTATTATATTTAAATATATTGTAGTCTCATATCTGTTATTACGGTATTATACAAGTCTGTAAATAGTGTATAACTATTACTTTAATAGGAAGAAATGTAATGTTGAATTAAATTTCAATGTTATAAGGACATTATATTTCGAAATTAAAGACGAAAATGAAAATAAAATTGATTATGGATGAAGTTTTGGAATCCCTATTTTTTTCGTAGGTATTTGCGGTGAATTTGTGGCCTGGCGTTGAGGGCAAGTTCATGCGTTTTTGCTCTGGCGTTCAAAAGGTTAATTGTGTCTATAATGAAGGTACTCAAAGAGCTAAAACTTTAGACACGTATTTATTGTTTTTCTCACAAAATTTAATACTTTCGACGATATATTAAACTGTCAAACACCATGCGGTCACCGGTGACCGCGACCTATTGTTCTTTAATTGTGTCTATAAAACCGGTACTCGACGAGTTAATTTGAAATATCGTGTGACGTCACAGCGTGTCACATTTTGTGGCACATTATGAAGTAACGACCTCCCACTCCTAAACTTAGCGCCATTTTATCTAAGTATTGATAGTAATACGAGAAAATAAAAGAATACGTGTCTAATATTTTTTCATTATCTAACTGACGGACCAATTAGATTTTTAATTTTGATACCCTGGAAACTACCCAATTCGGCACTTCACATTCAACAACTTTGCATTTCAAAGCAAATCCTGGCTACAAGATTGTGTCTATGCTAGTATTCTCCGCTAGCTGTGTGAGAACAACCCGTAATTACCCGGGACGATTACATGCTCGACATAAATATCTTCGGTAGTTGTTCGTCAACATAACTTTTTTCGTCCATAATAGCACAGACATTAACTAAAAATCACGTGAATATACGTTACTGAGAAAAGCTGAGCGGTATGCTGCGCGCCATCCAGTAGACTGCGCGACATCGCCGCAACCGCGCATGCTGCTCACGAGGAAGAACCCCTCTGTGGTTCGAAACTAGTAGAGCTTTTACAGTAGTACAGTATATTCAAGTGAGTAACCCGCAATTTAGTAGTAGTTAATTTAATATGTCTCACGATAGTTAGTATAAAAACAAAACCTTACCTTATTATACTCTTTGATATACCTACTCTGTATACTTAAGTATTATACCTCTTCTTTGTCTTTGGCATAACCTCTAGGTACATCTTGAAATCACTGACAGTTATAAAAAATAGAATGAAATAACACGCAAAATCTGTTGTAAAATATCTGAACAAAATGAACAGGACTCCTAGAAGGGGAAGGGCGACACGTCACGAGATTTCAAACAGATTTATCGCAAAAAATAAAGTACCAAGTGACGCAGAAGATTCACATCATTCTCCTTTTAGGCATCGCAGTAAAGAGAAGACTGTGGCCAATAGGTGCTGTTACGTAACTCCTGACAAGAAGGACTTTGGACAGTCCTACGGGCCTGATAGAAGATCAAGAGATAAACGTCCACATCAAAATATACTTGCTGGAACAAAATCATTTCAATACGATCATGTAATCACCTTTATTTTAATTTTACACTTAAAACTTACCTATTTTATTTCATACCTTCGAAGACTTTTTGTAGTATTTTACATATGATACCTATAATCTACGTCATACATTCGTAATGAAGAAGATTCATGCAGCTGCAGAATGCAGATGATATGTTTCTACGATTAGTACCTTTTTTATGGAATAGGAGGCAAACGGGCATGTGGATCACCTGATGGTAAGCGATCAGCGCCGCCGCCCATGGACATGTTAATGGGTAAGGTACCTACCTACCATTGGAGATGGAGACGTTTTATAACTTTACTTGTATTTGTATAAGTATGTAGATACTTACCTACATCTACTTATTTTTTAATAGCTTGAATGGATATTTGAGCAGTTACTTAAATTCTAAGAAAACCTTTAGTCATATAAGTACTGACCTTCTTTTTTCAGTACCGAACTTTACTGAAAGATCAATACGGATTCGATCCGTCAAAATCGGAAACTATCGCTCCTTTTAGAGATAAATTCAAAAGGGTGCCAAATTTGAATAACAATAAGGTTGAATCTCGTCCACACTATATCCAGAAAGGTACGTCACCTGCGTTCGTGGAGACACCTGATGGATCACATTGGCAGAACGTGGACAATATTGATGAATTAGAAACTATTGTTACGCACGAAGGTAAGTACCAATAATTTGACCTTAAAATATTATATTTGTCTAGATAATATGTTGTATTGGTGGTAGAACCTAGTTGCTATAGGTACACGGCTAGAATGGTTCGGCTCGAGGAAGTGAATAGGTGGGTTTTTACAACCCTCTTACAGAATGACGTGAAGCGATGACGTGATAACTTAATGTTACGTTTCGTTTTTGAGAAATGATTTCTTCAATGAGTAATCTTGATGCGTAAGTATTAGATAATGTTGGTTACCGCAGTTTTTAAATAAAATCTTTGTACTTAGGTACCTTGCTAAGTAGTAGATCCCTTATATTCCAGGCAACTATAGATCTACAGATGGGGTGAGATGGTCAGGGCTGATGCCGATACGGAGCCGCAGAAGACTTAACGGGTTGCCGAGGCTCCGGCTTGAAGTGCAGGAGTAGGAGCGGGGTGATTTTTAGCCAGTAAGAGTCTGACACTCCCTCTCGCCTCACCCGGGCGGGAGAAGTCATTGGATGATTTTCCCCCCTCAAAAAAAGGCAGCTATAAATCTAATAGCAACCCGCATTACGCAAGCGTGTGATTATGCTCAAAGCTTCTCCATACGTAAAGAGTCCTTTGGGGTCAGCAGTGGCCCCTTATAGGCGATTGATGGTGTTGATAGATCTAATAATATTTGTACCCCATTCACCATCTCCAGACACACCAACAGTGTACGAGCATCTTCCAAAGCATATCTACATATCCGAGGTGCCACGCGTCAAAATAATCGCTGAGAAATTTTCTAAATACAAGAAGAATAACATCGAACTCCGTCGACTCGATGAAAAGGTGGTTTGTGTGGAGTACAGCATCTACGACGGTACGAGCAAACATGACTTGAGACCTATACAGAGGATGAGGGCTTTCTTTTCTATCAAACCTTCCTCAGAAGATGACAGTCCGAATCACGGTAAGGTCAACCCTTAAATACTAACATTTACATACAGACCTATAGAGATACCCGAGCGTACGGCGCGTCGCGTTCCGCGCACGCTTCAAAGAGCCATCAAACCACCACAGATGGGGCCCAACAGGGCCGATTCCGATTCGGAGTCGCGGAGGCCCTAACGGGTTACCGGGGCTCCGGCTCGACGTGCAGAGAAGGAACGGGGTGGTTTTTAGTCAGTAAGAGTCTGACACTCCCTCCCGCCTCACCCAGGCGGGAGCAGTCATGCGATAATTTTCCCCCCTTAAAAAAAAAAGACCTATAGAGATAAAATGTATAAAAGTCTATATAGTTTTTGCTAATTTACTCATATCATAAAATATATTGGATGAACGAGTGTTCTAGGTTCAAGTTCATTCAATTTATATCGTAGTTACCTGCGACTACCCATAAAAGAATGAATAGCAGGATTCCTTGAAACTTTTAGTGTGGGAGAGCCATGGTTCGGCACGAATGGGCCGGCTCGACCGCAGTGATACCACGGCCTCACAGAGAATCGACGTGAAACAAAGTTTGCGTAGTGTATCGTCATGTGAGTAAGGTTACCGGAGGCCCAATTATCCTGCTCCCCTGCCCAATCTCCCCAATGCATGAATCCCCAACAATCCTCAAATTCCTAATCCCTAAAGGCCGGTAACGCATTTGTAACACCTCTGGTGTTCCGGATGTCTATGGGCGGCGCCGATTGCTTACCATCAGGTGATACGAATGGTCGTTTACCGGCTTATGCCGTAAAAAAAGTGTGACCTAACAACGATTCTTAAATCGGTAACTAAGCTTATAAAATATTAAGAAAGAGGCTTCTATTCTGCTGCAGCCGTCTTTTAATTACCTAATGATGATGATGGTTTATTTATAAATGTCGTGGTGCCCCAGAGGTTTAAGACGCCCGCTTCTCATGCATGAGGGGACAGGGTCAAAACCTACCAACGGCAAGTACCAACGTAACTTTTTTCGAGTCATAAGTACTTTCTAAGATTATATAGACACCACTGACAAACGGTGAAGGAAAGCATCGTGAGGAAACCTGGGCTTATAATTTCTATGTTTGTAATCACCAATCCGCATTGAGCAAGCGTGGTGATTAATGCTCAAATCTTCTCCGTGTGAGAAGATGCTTTGCTCAGCAGTTAGCATTTATAGGCTGTTGATGATGATGATTTCAAAATAACAAATATTGCATATAAGTAGAATTAGAAGGTTATTTTGACTGATGTTCTCTTAATAACTTTATCACAGAATCCGGCAAGTTACCAAGCTTACCTCCGAGTGTCAAACACCAATTCGACATCCTAGATGAAGACTTGAAAAAGTTAACGGACAAAGAGATTGAAATAATCGATGGAAAGATAGAGGATAACAGATCTTATCTGGAGGACTTAAGGCGTATATTGAAACGGAAACAAGTGATACACGCTAAAAAGAATAGAAAGACGTTGGATTTGGAGTCTCTATATCAAATGGCGAAGCGAGATGTGTCATCCGTCGGTTGTGGGTATTCGGGAGCGAATTTACTTTCGAAGGCGGAATTGCAAGATGTAAAGGACTTGATACTTCACAGATGTACGTCCAGTGTGCACGGTATTAGAAGAAAGAGTATTAAAAGGAAAGATAAAGGGTCCGGAATAGATTACGGTCTTATATCTGAGACCATTGTGGCTGAACTGTTGCGAGACGATGGCAAACTTAGTGTCTAGCAATGAAAGAGTTGTGTTCTGTTTGTATTTTATATATTTTTTTCGAAGTATAAAAATAGTTCACAGTATTCATGGAGTTTGTATAAAATCTGTAAATATTAACAACGTTTTTTTAACATGATCTAATACTACCTACTTACAAAATTATATCTATTATTTCGAACTCGAAAATACATATTGTTATGGTATAAAGCCATGATTAAGGTATAGAATAACAGAACCCAATTAATTAAGCTACTCTACTCCTCTCCGCTAGATTTTCAACCCTATGGCTTGGTAATAAAGTTGAAAATTGATTAAAACTTGGTGTAGCTTAAAGGCTACAACGATTGCACAGCCATACCCGTACGACTAATTCCAGTTTGAACTTAAATAGTTATTTGATTACCTATAAACTACTTAGTGGACCTGATGTGATCTCGACATTCTCGACATTCACAATCCTTTGATCATTTCTCTGGCACAAAGGCTGGGTCCAGATTTAATTTCTTCATTTCCACAGCCATCTCGAATAAGTAGTCGTAGCACTCGGTCCTGTTTCGAAAATCAAAATAGTTTAAACAGAGTTTAAAAGATTGAATTCAGAAGATTGAAAACAGTAAAGTACCTTCGCATTAGCAGGAGAGTTGTGGTAGGATGTGTTGATTTAAATAAAAAAAAATGTATATTTTGCCAGTTATATGGAGGCAAGCAATACATCTACATGCTAATTTTTCATTTTCTGGTAATTGAACTTAAGATATTTGGCAGTACCTCATACATAATAACATTTAGAAACACACTAAACACATCTTAATAAATCCATATTTTGACTACAAGATGAAAAATTCTTCGAGCTAGCCAAGTAAGAATGAAAGGGATTGAATCCAAAATACAAATAAAATAATTAAATATAATCTTACATAGTCTTAGCCTGTTGCCAAGTATCACCCCACACATAGACTCCGTGTCTTCTGACCAGCACTGCACTTGTCCCTGGGTACTGTCGCAACGCCTCGCCGAGGGAACCCGCCAGGTCCTTCTCAAACGGAGTGTTTTCTATAATCGGTACTACCAACTTTTCATCGTAGCGGAGATAGCGGCCTAGGGTAGCATCTTTTATACCCTGTGGATGTCAGAATAAGGTTTATTTATAAGCAAGTCATACCTATTAAGTATTGAGAAGTTAGGTGAAGTAAAATGATTATTTTATACAATAAAAACACAACAATACATTGATTATTCCCCAAAAGATTAAGTATAAGGGCACATTATTTACTATAATACCGACTTTTCACCCATATAAATCCCATGTGATAAATCAAAGTCAATATACCAACTTCAATTATACCAGGAAGGTACTTTTGAACGTCAAACCAAAATATTGAAAATGTCAGTCTGTGGTCAGTCCTATAGTGAAGCTACTTATAGTGAATACTTGTTCCAAAGTGTATATTCCTATGGAGAAGAATGAGTTAAAACCTCCATAGGTTGCTCTTTTTAAAAGGTTTACATGTTACAGGGAGAGAGGATAGGTCCACAGGCATTTGCGCTATTAGCTCATTAAAGTGTAGTATCCTACAAGAATCAAGTAAAAAATTTCATGGTTACTCTTTATCAATCAGTTTAGAGTAAGGTACCTTGATCATCTCCTGATGCGTGATGACAAACTCCTTGTCATATAGTAGAGTGCAGCGCACTGCGTGAGGCGAGTGTGTGTGTATGACTGCGCCGGCGCCGCGCTCTCTGTACGCCAACATGAATAGAGGAGTGCACTGACTTTTCTTTAACCTGCAATAGTCATAAATGATTACAATATCATTATTAGTTAAAACAGATATGGTGGAGGGAGATTTGAGGGAGCTTCGAACTAGTTATTAGCAAGAGATTGATAATAAGTCCGCCATTGTATACAGTTGTACATAAAGTGTTAAATAAATAAAAAAAATAAATAAGTGGGAAATGGTGAAATCTGTATGTCGTGGTGGCCCGGAGGTTTAAGACGCCCGCTTCTCATGCATGAGGGTGAGGGTTTGAAACCTACCGACGGCAAGTACCAATGTGACTTTTTCCGAGTTATATGTACTTTCTAAGATTATTCAGACACTACTGACAAACGGTAAAGGAAAACATCGTGAGGAAACCTGGGCTTATAATTTCTAATTATAAGTTTGTAATCGCCAACCCGCATTGACCAAGCGTGGCGATTAATGCTCAAACCTCCATGTGAGAAGAGGCTTTGCTCAGCAGTGGGCATTTATAGGCTGTTGATGATGATTGATGGTGAAATCTGATATTGGACAGTAAGGCTTTGAACAGACGAACCATATTCGTTGTGAGTTCACCGTATAAATCGTGACATGTTGCATTCAAACTGCTATTTGCAGTAGAATTGAAGTTAAGTTTGTTGTTGCTATTACATACTTCTTACATTTGCTGAGCAACCCAAAGTAAATCATAGGCTCTCGACAGACGGTCCGCATTTTAAAACAGAGACCAACTTGCTGTGACATTTTCAATTACAGTTGGGTTTTCCTTCCTGACGCTATAACTCCAGAACGCACGAACCGATTTCCACGGTTTCGCATTCGTTGGAAAGGTCTCAGGCTCCGTGAGGTTTATAGCAAAGAAAGTTACCTAAAACGAAGCCATCTGGTGGTGATGGTGAAACGGAGTTCGCCAGGTTTGCTAGTGCTGTATAAAAAAGCTTTTTAACTACGTAAAACTTACATTTTCTCTGGAGGTGGTAATTCAAGATCCTCATCATTGATAGTTTGCACAAACAGGTCATCAGATTTCATGCGCTCCTTTTGCACTCCAGATGGCGCTATGTAAATTTTATCCCTGTAAAAAACATAATAAATTTTGTACTGTAGATGACTTAAACTGTTTATTGTGTTGTTAATTTTATTTTATTTTAGAAATTTAAAGCAAATAATGTTTTTCAGTAATTAGGTATTTTAATATTTGATTTGATATTGTCTGTTGAGTTCATCAAGTGGGCCTGATCAACTCAATACAAATGGATGGTTAAGTGACCTTTATGTATTATTAATTAATGTTTTATTAATGTGTCATGGTGGCCCGGTTTAAGACACTCGCTTTTCATGCATGAAGGTACGGGTTCGAAAACAATATTAACCCGTATATCCCCAAGCGGTCATTGGTGACCACACTGCACTAACTACATTATAGACCACACTTCAAATGTTTAGAGACTACTTTTGTATGAACAAATTTAGGGGATGAATTTTTTTTTTATATTTGATGGGGCGACGTTTGACCACTATCTCGCCTGATGGTAAGCAATGATGCGGTCTACGAAGGAGCACGTCGTCCCATAAGCAACCTATTCACTCGGGCCTTGAAGACTCCCAGGTTATACCCTTCAGGAAATACAGACTCTGGCAAAGAATTTCGACAATTTTTAATGGGTTAAGTAGGTACGAATGTGACATTTTCTGAGTTATACATATGTTTCAAGATCATTTAGTCACCACTAACAAACAGTGAAGGAAACCATCATGATGAAACATGGGCTTATAATTTCTAAATATAAGTTTGGAATCGCCAACCCATATTGAGCAAGTGTGGCAATTAATGCTTAAACCTTCTTTGTGTGAGAATATTAGTAGTCATGTTCACTCACCCTTGCTTAATAGAGATACCCCCACCAGTTCCAGTTACCCATCCTAAATGATAGAATTGATTACATAATTCTGGAATCAAATTCCTTGGGTGTTCCTGAAAATAAAAAAAAAACTTATTTTAACTAAAGAGTAATTATTACTTTGTAATTATTACTTGGCTAATTTTATAAAATTTTCAATTACAAAAGTAAATTATATTTTTTATTAATAATGTTTTTGTTATCACGCACTTAAGTTGTGGTTTTGCACTGATGTATACATGGGAATATTATTTGCAATAAATTGGTCACATGATTAAGGTAAGTAAATATATTACCTCGATATGGAGGATTACAATTAAAACTTATAATAATTTATGTAAAGTCGTCAGTTGTTTGCTATTTAGAAATAATAAATTTAATTTAATAATTTCTTACCGGACCAAGTTCAGCCATGATATCTCTTGCGTCGTAGTTAGCAAACTGCCGAAGAAGAAATAATGTCTTCTAATGGTACTTACTATACCTACTTGCTTTATCTTATCACGGCCGGTGTAAAAAACTAAATAGAAATCATTGCGCTCAGCATTTTATCAACAAAATATGGTTACTTGACATTGACATCTGACACCTTGACTTTTGTTTGACAATTTCAACAATTTGTCACATCTTCGTCGTCAACGTTCGGGATCCAATAATTTTTATTCTATATTCTATAAAATAGAAAAACTATTTATCTTTCATTAAATAAAAAAGATAATAATCTTTAAGATATAAAAAGATAATAATCTTTTGTAGCAAGTACAAAGTACTTGACGGAAGTTGGGTACTAGCGTTCTAGCGTAGGTACATAAATAGTAAGCAATGAAAAATAAGGGCTGGAACATACCTACTGTAATTTGAAAATACTGGCATGTTGGACGTAATTATTTCTTATTCGCTCATCATTTCCTTCTCCATAATTTGGTGCACTGTCATCAGTGGAATATATTTATGTCAAAATTCTAGCAATACACACCAAAATTTTTAAAAATCGTTTTCTGATGTTATCGACCATGACAAAGAAATTCAAATAAATTGATACTAAGATCACTGGGTAGATTACGTTGGAATCTTTAAATGTAAGTTTTTGGACTGTACCCTTCTTCACTATGATATAGCTAGCTTTTAAACGAGAACAGGACCTGCGTATGTTGTGTGGTTGCAGCCTACAGTCTTAATGAGAAGATTTAGACAATTGGCTTTTCTTTTATGGACAAAAACAATGTCCTTAGAATGTTCCTTGTATGTCCCTTTCTTATGATCACTATCCTACGATCAATTATATAACAAAAAGTACTGAATTAGGTACCTACCTCAAAAAACTATGACATAATTAAAAGCTTTAGGAATGACATGGTACACTTCTACTAGCTTACGAAGATATCAATCTTTAAACACAAACAGAGATTGGTTATCGTGACGCCCGCGGTGAGATAATATTATTATTTTCCTTTAATTTTAGAATACTTTCTGAGAATTCCCATAATGCGTGAGATACCAGAATGTTTGAATCGCCGTTATCAGATGTTGGACAAATTAGTCAAGGACTTGAGTTCTGCCGGGCCTCCCGAAGATGCGGTCTCACCGCAACCCAGTACGGCGGGCAACGACGTCGGTGTCAAGTTAATGTGTGATTTCTGGAACATTCTGAAAGAAGACCCAGAATGTGACCTACCGGTTTGTGGACTTTTCATATGTCATGATACTCGCTTACATAAATTTTAACGAACCCATTTTTATACTATTATAGATATAGAGAGTTTTATAACATTATCTTCTGATTGTTCCAAATTTTGTAGCAAGAAGTACATCAGCGCCTATGTGGTAGGGACAGCGTGGGATTATATGGTCCCCAGCAAGTAGAGTGTTACCTAGCCTGCAAGAGTAAGTCGAAGGAGAACCTCGCAAGGCAGAAGCAAGATGCAGCCATGCAGAGAGTCAAACGGTACCCTCTTCAACTGTCAGCCTTAAGTAGTGTAAAAAGCAACTTGATTAACAAGTAGGTCGAATTATAATAACAAGTAAACAAAGTCGTCGACGGTCAGCGAGCGGTCAGTGCGACACTAAAACCAGCCTTATAGATAGTGGAAGACCGTCCGTATCGAGCGAAAACTTGAGGCTTAATATGTGGGCAAAGTAACAATATTTCTACTACATATTACCTAATTCTGTTTATAGGATAACTGTCCCTAAAGAAGGAAAAGTAAAACCTACCTGCCCCGAAATATGCCAGAATGATGGTGAAAAGTTACCGCTCACTCAAGTTTTGTTCAATATTAAAGAGGTTGGTGGAGATAAAATCTATTGGTGTACATAATGGTAATGAGTCTTATGCTCGAATAAGTACCGAAGAACTACCCAATTTCAACTTGTACTTAAATATCATGCAATCTCTGTCGTTTTAGAATTTGTTGTGACATTAATAACTACATAGTCTTTCTCAGTTTGTGAAAGGTCGGAGTTTGAACCCAAGGTTTGAAATTTTTTGTAAGTTATATGGGTAGCGGGTAAAGTATTTTATCCGAAGCCTGATTTCTTTCGGTTTGCAATGAAATTGTGCCATCAGATTATAATGCAACCGATTGGAGATTATTAGTTATATCAAATGGATTTCATGTAAAGAAATCACTAATGACGGCCAAGCATGCAGGATACTTTAATCTAAGATGCCTATATTGACACTATTACACTCGGTACCTAAGTGGGCTCAGTTTTCGAACCCGTAGTTTACGAGCGCCCAAGTAAGCCATTTATCTGAGTAGACTTTTATGACTGAAGCGTGGGTCCAGTTACTGATATACTTTCGTTAACTTTTATACGAAGATTGATTATATTTAAGTATTTTCATTTTTATCAAAGGCGGCCTCGTTCGATAAGAAATGCCACGTGCGACTTGAAGAGCTCATGTTAACTCAAAAAGAACTCGTGGAGCAAATTCAAAATTTGGAAGAAAGGGAAAGACAGGGCATGGACCTGTTGAAACAGGCTGATTGCATGTGGTGCTGTATGGAAGAGTCGTACAAGAAGAAAATATTGGAATCTCAAAATAGATACAAAGTGTTGATGGCAGAGGTAACACTGTATATCATTAGTTACTTGCCTAAAACAGAATTTCATGTAATATAAAATTTAATTTTGAAATTGTTGATTATTTTTAGATGAAAGAAATAGAGGCGAGTTGTATCAAATGGAGGAAGCATAAGAAAGATCTGGAATTTCAATTAACGAATATAAATCATTGTGGCGATGACATCAAAGAGAAATTATATCAGAAGAATAACGACCTTAAAGTTATGGGTATGGAGATTGAAGAATTTAAGAGAAGAATTGCAAGTAATACTAAGGATTTGGATGTTGCTAAGAATTCGTATAGATCGAAGAGAGAAGCTTCTGATGTAAGTAATACCTACGTATTAACAACAAGGAAGTTTTAAAGTAGTTTGAAAACAATAAGCAAAAATGTACCAGAGTTAGGTAAACAAACATGGCATAACGGGGGAGAGCTAAATTAATGTAACGTGAAGTATGCAACCATAACACATACCTACACAGTTTCATAATGTGCGTAGATGTTGTTCGTTTTCCATATATCTAACCGTTTGTATTGTATTTAAATATAATTTCAGGGAAGAATGGCAACTATGGCCTCTAAAATGAAGAAACTTCAACAAAAGATTGCATTGGAAAAGAAAGCTAAAATAGAAAAAGAGAATGAAGGTTCAAGTTACGTGAAAGAAGCGAGAGATGATTTACAAAAAATTTGTAGACTCCTTTTACAGAAGAAACTTGAAAGTGAAGATCTACTTGCTGAGGTAGTCAAAGCACTCTATGCCTATCTTTTACGAACAAATTTAAAAATTTCCTAATTGAAGTAAAGCCAGTTTACCAGTTACAGATTTACTACAATAAAATAATATAATACTCATTTTTTCTATGTACTTACAAATGTATTTATTTATAGTTATAATATTCATTTGGGCTTCATATTAATTTTTAGAAAGAGGCGTTATTTCAAGAGATTGATCTTCTCAAGCAGACCTGGGATACTTGTAAAGAAAAATGTAAGAAAAAAGAAAAATCCCTGGCCGACGAACTGGCGAAAATTGATAAAGAGTTGACCACATTTCGGGTGAAATGCATAAAATGTCATCAATGTGTTGACACTTCAGATGTTAGGAAATACTGTACCGATTGTCCAAGATGTTTAGCAGAAAGGGAATGTTTGTATTCAGCCGATCATTGCAGTCCTGACCATTCCATGGATTGTGTTTGCATGAGCGTAAAACAGAAATTTTTGGACAATGTTTTTGAAAACATGTACACAGTTTTGGAGAGACAAACTAAAACTTGTCCCGGGAAAGCTGTTGCTGATTGTGTGTTGAATTGTTTGAAGAGAAGCCGCAATGGGAAACTGAATCAGGAAACCAGGAGAGTACTGCAAGATTTTATACTGAGTACTGTGAAGAAGAATTTGAATTTAACAATTGTCGGTGGAGCGGTGAAGACAAGATGCGAGGTACGTAAGATGTGATGATAAACTTCCAGTAGAAATTTTGTATTATTACCATGTTGCATGCTTACTACTGTTTTCCAGATGGACTCAGAAACTTACAAGCAATTGATGTTGTGTCTCAAAGACGTTACTGTAACACGTCCAGTGAAACAAGATAAGGGCACAGGGGCTAAAAAGGTAAGTGTCTAAAGTATTGTAATGCGCTTACGATGTACCTATGTCGGTGAAAATTCTATATTTCTGCTTATATCATATTTCATTTTTTTTGCACAGGAACCGTGTAATCGCTGGGGTGGAACTACTGAATGTAATTGTCCAAAAGGTCCTAAAGCCTGTGTCTGTAATAAAGCTCCAAAACCACCAACTGACCCTTCTTCTTGTGGACTACAGCCACCAGATGAGGTAAACTACGAAATTGTTTTGAAACATTTTGTGCTTTTAAGCGCGTAGAATTAATAAAACCAGTTGTGCCTAGAATTTCTTCGTCACAGTTTCACTTATAATATTGGTAGATCGGCTTTGAAAGAACAAATAGAAAGACAGCTACTGTTTTTGTTGGAAGGTAGACATTGGGTGTCTTTCTTCCTTCTGTATAGGAATATACGCCCTATAGGAATTAATAATACAGGATCCGAAGTCTTGTGAGACAACGTGTCCACTACGAGAGTCGCAGGCGTGCAGCACAGACTGTGGTATGTTGGGGATGCCGGGTGCGCCGGAAAACTGGCGACGCGAGCCATGCGCCGGCCCGAGCTGCCCATTCTCCAAGAATATGCGAGCCGCTCAGTGTGTTCTGGGGCCCGAGCCGCTCTCCCCAGCGCAGAAGGCTCACCCCGTGCCACCAAACATACCAAAGAAGTCACTACAAGAGAAACCGGTGAGTTTTTAATTGTTCACAAGTCTACATTGCATTCTAGGATGTACTTTAAAGTAAATGCATTTCGAAAAAAGTAATATATAAATTAACGATGAAATCAGAAAATGTAGCAATTCCAATAATTTTAGTGGTAAATTAAAAGCCATCCATGTAAGTCAATATTACCGAGTCAATAAAACCACCAGAAACAAAAAAAAAATATATTAAATATCATTTTTGATATGATGGTTGGAGCAGCAATATCGTTTACTCGCCAGTAGTGTTTATGTTATAAAACGTGCTGTCGATATGGCTTTATTGAAATGAATCCATTAATGTTAGAAAAGTGAATAAATTAAAATCGTTTTTATGTTCAGGCTACATGCACTTGTGGAAGCAAGGTGATAAAACTATGCCCATGTCATAAAGGTAAGTGATTAAATAACAGTAACGGTGTAGAATTTGCGTGGGAGTACAATTCAGTGTAACTAGACATCTCCAGTCGTGACAAATAAAGCTCGTTATTTTAGATCGTAGAAGTCATACGCGAAAACAAATTTTCGAGGAAGTCATGGGAAGATATACTGAGGTATCACCTATAGAAAAAGTAAGTTACATGTTTATAGACACCGAGTCGTCCGATTTAAATTATGAAACATGTGATTAGTACCGACTGTGCCTGTTTCAAACATCATATCATAGTAACCGATTTGTTTGATAAATTACGAATGTAAATTTTCGCAATAAAGCTATCTATTTTATTGTACATGGTGGTTTTATTTCACAGTCAAAAAAGTAGCCACCATGTTTGGATGAAAATAAAATACACTATTTCATCTTAGGTACCCATGGCAGTGCCTGATCATGTAATGATTTCGAGGAGAAAAGGAGAATTTGATTGCGATTGCTCTAATTTACCAGTAAGATATTTGCTAGCATCAAAAACTTCTGAAAACAAAATAAACCAATACTGTGCCTGTTCATCTAATTATGTATCGCGAGAAAATAGAGAACCCTTCTTAAAAAAACTGCGAAAAGGAGGACATATAAAAATTTGCAGAAATAATAAAAGTGATCACGGTTCTAGTGGGATTGACATCTTGACACAATTTCCCAATGTCGGAAACAATATACCTCGAACAAATGAAAGAACAGGAGACGATATACAAATGATATTGTGTCCTAAATTTTCTCGGGGCTATGACGATAAAATAGGAACATCAATGGGAAATATTACTAATATGAATTATGGTGCTCATTTGAAGTTAAAATATAAGTCGGCTTCAAAAATAGATCAAGATATTAATCCCCACGATGCAAGCCTTGTTGGAAGAAAGGTTTGCGAAAACGTTAAGGAGCTTATGAAAGAAATTGTTGTCCCAGAGATGCCACCAACAACTGCTAATAATAAAGTTGAATGGGTCAAATTAAAATCATTGTATAAAGAGATATCTTCATTAACAAAGTTGGAAAATTTAAGTTCAGAAACTGTAACCGAAGTGGAAGTAAAATGTGAGACTTTGGAAGCATCGAAGGATTTCAAATTAATTAGAGTAAATACAAAGCAAGTCAAAGCTATTTCTCTAGAAAATGAAATAATTGATACGGAACATATTATTACTATAAATGATAAAGATGGTAACTGTAGTATGTGTTACAATGATGTAATGACAGGAAGTTTCTGTAACACTCAGATACATAATAATAAGATAGCCGAAGAATTGAAATTGAAACTGTTAGAGGATATTCGAAAGACTTATAACATTTCTGTTGAAACATCCTTTGAGCAAATCACGGAGCTGGACAAGACATGCAATTTGAAAAACGTACGCAAATGCTTACGTAATTTGCAAAACACAGTAAAGGAACAAAATAAATGTACTTGTGTTAATACAAAGTGGCAACAGAATGATGGATATGGGAGAAATTTGAGAAACCCTCAGAATTATTTTTCAGTCCATGAACTAAATATTGATACTGATAGTACACATAATTGTTCAGTACTACTTAATGACACCACTAAAAATAATCATAATAAACATAAAGAATATAATAATAAAGTAACGTTTTATAAACAAGTCAAAAGTAAGCTCGATCATATAAAGCAGAACAAAATTAAAAATGCTAATAAAAAACATAGAGCTAAATAAGAACTTGTACGGTGAAATAGGATTGATGTGGAAATAGGGCTTAGTTTTTATTGGTTTTTTGTTACAATTTAATAATTTTACATGTCTTAGGGCTGATTTTTTCATCAACAGGTTTTTTATTATTCGTAGAATAAAAGTGATGTCTGACAGTTTTTAATGGAAGAATTGTCAAAAATTTTTAATTATTTCTCCAATAAATTTGTATTGAGTTGGAAAAATCAGCCCACGGTATCTTACTTTAAGTAACAGCATATAAGAGACACTGTTTTCAGTTGTTTTGTACTCCCATGCAATTCTAAATATCAATGTATATTTGCCTATATATTTTTTATATCAAATTCATAATATTTCAATTGACTTGCAGATACAAAACAACTGAAAGCAGAAGTTACAGAAAGTTGCAATAAAAGTTCATATGCAAACTATCGAAAAATAAAAAAAGATACCCAGAAACTTGAGTTGTCCCGGCAAATATCTGCTGATTCTAAATTAATTCCTAAAGGCCAAAATAAAGAGAGTAGCACAATACAGAAAACTAAAAGTAACGTTACTCGAAGTGAAAATAATAATAAAGACCAATTTAAGGTAGCTATTGAAAATAAAAGTGGGCTGTCAAATAATCAATTTACTGAACTTAAACACACAAATTCTGGCAGGCTAGCGATGGAGCTAGATGAACACTTAATAGACATGATAGAAAAAAAGAGTCATGAAGATTCTTCTTTATTCATTTCGATAAGAAAGACCACATCCGATAATCTTTTAGTAGATTTTAATACAAAAGAAAACGAGACTGACAATACTCACAAAGTAACAATAAGACGAACATCTTCTGGAACTAGACTGTTAGATATTCATAAAAATGTAATACATCTTCTAAAAGGGTCGTTAGCTAATAAGTCAGATACTAATATACCGAAAACTATTAAATTAGCCACAAGTCCTAAAGAACAAGACAGTTCCATTCAGGTAATTAAAGATAAAGTGGAGGTTACTGCTTCTCAGCCGCATGACAGAAACTTAGGGAAGCAAATAAGACAGCAGAAAGAAGAAACCACGATTGAGCTAAAAAAAGACATGGATTCCCGTAAAGATATTATTTCGTCAACCAAGTCAGAGTTACAGAGTTTAGAAGAATTGAAATTGAAAAAACTTCAAAGAACGGACAAAATAGAACGTCAGAAGTTACCTAGGCAACACAGTTCATTTGTATTTGACTTTAGATCACAATTAAAGAAATTATATAAAAAAGGAAATACAGATGTCGCAGTCCAGATCAAAGGAAAGGACGGTGTAGTCCAGACGTTTTCCACAGTTGTTACTAAAACAACGTCAGGTACTATAGCTATTTATGTTGATAACATGACTTCTCTGAAACATATAAGTTTTATAGATAATGAGTATCCGGTACTTTTGTCTAAGATAACTTCTAAAAGTTATTTTGTAAACTTCGATAAGGATGGTCAAGTTTACAATGCAATCACTAGAAAAACTCCATCTGGAGGAATGTTAGTAATCCCTGAATCAAGAACATTTATTGAAATGCATAGTAAGAGTCATACAAATGATCGTGAATTAAAACTTACAATAATTGGCTTGCAAACTCATCCGTTAGAACTTCCCGCAATTTTACAAATAACACCATCACGAAATTATATAATCGCTTTAAACAAAAACAATGACAATGGTAGAAAAAAACATTTAAATGAATTTATGCGGGACAAAAAAGACGTTATAGTTAATTTGCATAAAAAAGATTCAGAGAATTATATAATTGATTTGAATACCGATGACGAACGTCATTTGATGAAACAAAAAGCCTTGATTTATAAATCATCATCGGGTGATGTAAAAGTATTAATCCAAAAAGATACCTTTGAATCAATAGATGACTTGGTTTCATTAGATAGTTTATCTAACAGTTATCCACATATAATTGGAAAATTGCCTGCTTCAAGCAGGGAAATTCACCGAGGAAATCTTAGAAAATCAAAAAACTTGGACAATAAAGTCAGCAGCGATACACAAGTTTATGACAATTTCAAAGTTCAGGACAAGAGAGGAATAACTACAGAACCTCCAACTTTTCTAAAAAAGACAGAATCAGGAAAATACGCTGTGATTTTAGATAAAGAGTCAAAAAAGACATTCATACATAACTTACAGAGCTTTTTATCAACTAATTCAGAAGGACTCATTCCAATTAGAAGATCAGATTCTGGAGATATAATTATAGATCTTAATAGTGGTAACAAATCTAAAGGACCTAAGGGTACATTGAAAATAACTCCATCTGGAAATATCTATGTGATTGTTGACGAAGAGATCATCAAAACCATGGCTGAACAAGTTAAAAAGAAGAATGCATCGACTGTAGGCACGAGATCGCAGCAGGTTACAGACTTAATCGTCTCTGTTAGTAAAGCAATTGCAACAACATGCAATGCTCATCCAGAAGATTGTGACTGCGATGCATCTAAATGCGTTTGTTCGGATTTACGATTAGACACATTTGATTGGTTAACTGGTTTTAAACCGACAAAAACGAAACCATCTAACTGGAAAAAGGCGCATCGCAAAGCTGGCTGCTCTCATTCAAAGAAACGGAATGTGGTTGTGAAATCAAGTTCCAGAGATAAGTCACCACATATTGTTATTAAACCGAACTGTGACTTAGAGTCCAAGTCCAAAAATAGTGAATCAACGAAGCAGTGTTACTTTTTAGTTGATTCAGTATGCCCGTACCATCAAAATAGATATGACGGTGTATCCAATGAGATATTGGAAATTACAGGATTATGTAACCCACAGAAAAAATCGAGTAAAAATAGAATTGAGTTTGAAGCAATAAACAATTTACCAAATAAAACAAAAGGACATCTGGTATGGGATTCTTTAAATAATTTACCACCGCAGCTGCCACCCTTTTTATATTTTGACTATCGCTAAAAACCGATTCATTGTTTTTCTTTTGTATTGGTCTATCATCAGTAAGCAAATACCAAAAACAAAAATGTTTTATTTAATATGAGAATGAATATGTACCCAAGTGCTTTTTCAATAAAATTTGTAGTCGCATTTATCGAAGTTTAAAACAAAATATATGTGTCGCCAATTTTATTTCTTAGCTTTGTATGATCGATAATGGCTACGTTTCGTTTAGTACATCGTAATGGTTGTATTCTAAAATATCGCACTAAAACTCTACAATTGATGATAGAAGTTCCACCACAATAATTGTTTATCAGATGGTGTGTATTATTTATGTTCAATCATGTAACTGTTTGCAAATGATTGGTTGCGTCCGTTTGTTAAACATAATATTAATATTCGAATTGTATTTTTCAATTTTGAATACTATTAAACGCTCTCAGCTCAAATCCATGTATTTTTCTTTATGCGTTTCGCTAATTGTTTATAAGCAATAGTTGCGCGAAGTTGTGACTTTATTGACTTTAGAAACAATCCTCAATTTTGCTTTGCTCACTGAAGGACTTAAATTTTCTTTAATATTTCTCACTGGCAAGCCATCCTAATGACTTCCTCCGCAATATTTTCCGAACAGGCGTCTCACGATGTTTTCCCTTTATACTTGCGCACCGTAAATGGTTTAAGTTTGCCTGCAGTCTGCAGTTTCATCTTGCACGTGTGTGCCCGATTGTGGGCCGAATACTTAATGCGAGACGCATTAGTTCAAAGGACATTATTCATTTTTATTCTGTTAGTTTCTTCAGTTGTTATTTGTGACTTTTGCTCGCTCGAGAAATATTGTAATGTTTGGTTTATGAAACTTGAGTTTATCTAGATGTAATGTATATAGAGTCGGAAACTTCTACATGCTATTTTATTTTATTTTTCATTGTGTCGATTCTTCAACACGAGTCAATGAATTATAACAGCCTTATTTAATATACTTTTTTAAGAGTACGTTGTCGCGTCAAAGAGTATAAATTAACAAGAAATATGAATAATTTCACGCGAACGAAGTCGCGGGTAACAGCTAGTACCTATTTTATATTCTTAACTTTGATTGTCTTACCTATATATATTTCTGAACTTTGTCTCTTCCCAACTCTTTGAGTACCGTCATTATAGACACAAATAAAAAACAATAGGTTGCGGTCACCGGTGACCGCGCGATGTTTGACAGTTTAAGACGTATTTATGTCTGTATATGAGTTGAGACGTCTATTGTTGCCACGTGTATCTTTTCACGTGTCTGCTAGTAAAACTATATCGACGTGAATGGATGTTGTAAAAATTCGCAACGATGCGATATTTCGGCTCGGCACTTACTCCCCGTGGGTTCGCGAAGCTTATTGAATACAAATTGTTTCTTTATCAGCCAACTTTTGCGAGAGACGCCAGGAATAATTCGCGTATTGTGCTGTTACCAGTTTTGTCAAAACTTGTTTATTGTAAAATATTGAATTCGGGTGGAAATGTGTTTCTGTCCATAAAGTCGAGTAATAACATGTTGTTAAATGCACTTTTATTGAAATGCTTGTACTTACTTTACTACATAAAGTTTAGGAAAACCGCCACTTACAGCCAAATGGAGATATTTATGTCCAAATACTCTAAATCCGCTCAACTATAAGTCGCTCTTACCTAGTAATAGTTCTGTCACTAATATTTTTTTGTAAAATGATGGAGATTTTTTTTTAAGGGGGAATATCATCGAATGGCTTCTCCCGCGTAGGTAAGACGGGAGGGAGTGTCAGACTGGTACTGACTAAAAACCACCCCGTTCCTACTAGTACAAGCCGGAACCCCGATAACCCGTTAAGTTCTCCGCGGCTCCGTAGAAAATACTAGTTGGGGCAACGTTTGTAAAAAACAAAGTATGTCTCGCAATATAAAAACCACGTAATAACGGAGATGGCACTATCTATAAAGTCGTGTTAGTTACACCACTTATAACTCAAGAACGGCAGAATAGATTTGGCTGAAAATTGGTAGGGAGGTAGCTTAGAGCCAGGAGACCGACATAGGATACTTTTTGACCAAATTTTTTTTTTACTTTTTACCGAAAATCACGAACGGGGACGGGAAAAAATGGGATTACGCGTACGAAGTCGCGGGCAGAAGCTAGTATTTAAATACAATTTAAAATTGAGTAGTCTTTCAGTATTCAGGTGTTCGGTAATGTTTTGCATCACTTAAAAATATCACAATTTGTTGTATTTTTAAAAGGTACACATGGCTACATATCGAGCTTTACATAACCAGTATAAACTGAACGTTAAATGTGCAGAAAGATGATGCGACGCGACACCAGGATAAACTGGTTTTGTATAGATTGATGTGTGGTCGTGTGTACTAATAAATATCTAACGAATATTTCTATAAAAACATATTTAAAGTTTGTACGCATTATTGATCTGCATCTTTATTAACGTTTTCTATTTTATTACGCAATTCATCTCACTAACTCGAATCGTATTTTTAAACGCATTCATTATTTCGTACGTGTCGTCAAAGCAAGTATTGATGCCTGGGAACTATTCTTGTTAACTGTGATAAAACTATGTTTTTCTCTCTAATTTGCTTGTTTGAGCTAAGTGCCTAATCATAGCAAACTAAGGTAATTATGGGGCCTGTTCCATGTGATTGGAACGTGTTATTGAGTGAAATTATCTGCACCTGCCTGTCATACAGACCTGTTATTACTTAGGGATACGCAATCTGAGGCCTTCATTGAATGAAATGAGTTCCGTTGAACAAAATGTGAAATTGGTCGTTTGTGGAATATTTTGTTTTGCTGGTTTCATTGATATGGTACAAGTTTTTGGTCAGAAGCAATAACTCCAGTATGGTCTAGTGGCTAGGATACCTGGCTCTCACCCAGGAGGCTCGGGTTCGATTCCCGGTACCGGAAAATTGTTTTTGTGCTTTTTATTTTGAGTTTCCTTTTTTGTGTTAGAATAAAAATAAATACTTACACTAAAAGTACATTTACAAAAAAAATAACTCCCTTTTATCCACAATCGTTTTGAAAAAGAACTTCTTTTTTTTAACTTTACACAAAAACTATCCAGACAGTTGATACAGATAATAGCAAACAGGACAAAAAACCCTCTAGCTGCCACGCCACCAACATCCACCGATCCACGCGTACCGTGGGGCCTTTTCGACCGCAATTTTTCGCCACAGCCGTGTATACGCCGATGTTTTTTGTAACCCTCCAACGCACAGCAGATTGATTTATGACCAGTGGTCTGATCTAGTTTAGATATTTCAGATAGCATTTAAAATATTTTGGTGGCTAGCAGACGTTTTTTTTATGTAGGTATGTCACGTATTCGCGTTGTTTTCTGTAGGAGTAAATACAAGATAAGCTTCGGTTTTTACAAAAAGTAATATTTTTCGTGAAAAACTCGTCTTTATTTGATAAACGATTTATCATTCTGTTTCGTAACAAAGAATTTTCTATTACTGTTTCGTTTGGTCTTTCATTTACTTCTGACAGACTAGGTGCTATTGGATTCATTATTCATTTTAGCGGAAATTAGAAGATTCTCTAAAAATAAGTAATAAGTAGGTGCGAAATATTTTTTTGGAAAATTGTGGATGCTGTTGTTTCTTAACAAATATTTTGTGTTGTGCGCAAACAAGACCAGTGTAATCTAATGGCGTAATTGAAGTATCTCATTATACGTCTATAATCTATTAAAGTCTTTATTGTGAATGGTTCGAATAATACCACTGTTACTATTACTGTCAAAATGACGTCACGATATGATTCAACTTCTTTGATGTAAATATTCACTTCGAAGTCGTTCCCATAGAATCTGATATTGCGATTGGCGAATTTCCAAGTACGTCAAAAGAAAGTAGGTAATCAAGTGGCTTCATGATATAAAAAGTTCGTAAAATGTCAAGCCCCGCTTTTTGTAACACATTGGAGACATTTCTTCGTCATAAACATTCAATAATACAGAGACGCAGTTATAGGGTTAGATGTGTTTCATATGTCTGTGAGTTGTATTCGACACAGCAGAGGTTTGCTTTGTTATTTATTTCTGAACACAATTTATTGAAAAGGGTTTTCAGGAGTGCCTATCTCACATATTTCGCCCGAACACAAGTGTCTATTTCGCTGCAAATTGGACTCAGTGTACTGAGATGATTGTGGTACACAGTTTTATTTTCTTTTAGGTCAACCAAGTTTAGGTAGTGCGTACTTACTTTAAAATAAATCCGTTACTTTTGGAATTATGTATTTGCAGGAGATATTGATGTGTTAAGTTTAATCACAACTACAGTATATTACATTACCGTCTTTCTCCCTAATTTTCCACCATTCTGCAAATAAAATGGCTTAAGCCAAAACGAAATAAAACTGCCTATAAAGATTAAAGATCGCCCAGCAGCCTGCTATTCATTCTGTTCACAATTTCTCGCTTGACAAAAGAGTAGCGCGCACAATTTGTCAATCCATCCATCCGTACTGTTAAAATGGGCTGTAAAACTTTTAACACTCGACCCTAGGAGAGTGGGAGAGACACTCAGAATTTTGTAGTTCCGCATAGGAACCACATAAAGCGAAATGGGACAAGACCGGAACGGAATAAAAAGAAAGGTCGGCCCGGATACGATGTGCCCGACAGTAAAACCAGTACTTGGATGGAAAAAAAATTTCAGGAGAATAAGATTTGGTTCGTCTACAAGACGTGAGGCAGGAAGAAGTAAAAATGGCTTATATCTTTTGGCGGTGACACCGTTTAATCTTTGATATTAAAATAAGTGATTGTTCTCAACCTAAATGCCTTTAGCTAAGGTCGGTGATCCAAAACCAATTCTTAAAAAAATATCACCCTTCTTTAAGATTATATCCTGTGTTGTTAGTACGCATACTAACACAACCACTCGTCGTTTTTCAGTTATATTTTAATAGGTCAGCCATCGCAAAACACCGGTCGCAGACAGCTGGTTTTTCCTCCCCT